TCATGACTTCCGAGGTATCTTTAAGAAGGGTAAATTACTTTTGATTCAAAGTTACACTATTTACTTTTTACTCTTTACATTTACCCATAAAAAGGGAATTTAATTTTAATGTCGAATTTTATTGTCTTCTATTAATGTACGTCAGTGTTTATTTGCGATATTTGTTTTATATCATTGGCCTATTGAATATTGATTGGCACTAAAAATAGTTGTTTATAATTTTACTAATCCATCAAATAGAGATAAAAACTTACATCGGATAACTTAATACCAAAGGAAGTTACTGAAATTATTGCTATGCCGATATACACCCAATAAGTATAGTTATCTACTAAAAAGTTTCTATCACAGTTTCCAGTCAAACAGTTAGAAATAATGGCTGGATATTTTAAGTTTTTTAATCTTATCAGTTAGTTATTATTACTTTATTTAGCAGTAATAGATGGCGCTAATTTTAGATTAAAACTATGAAAGCCAAAACTCTCAAGTTATGTAAATGTGGCCAGGTCGTAGAATTGATCATATTATCATTAAGTGCTGGACCACTTCAAATATCGCAATATATATAGCCTATTATTAGTAACTATTTCTCCATAGAATAAAACAAAATCGCTTCCCGCCGTCTGTACGCTGAGATCTTTTAAACTACGCAACGAATTTTTGTGTGTGAATTTAAGTGAGTTCCTGTATGGTTTTATTTACAAGTTGGTTTGGATTTTTATATCCGGTAGGTGGTGTTGTTACCGATATCCAGAAATCACCCGTGCGAAGCCGGGGTGAATCGCTAGTATCGTATAAATGTCAACGTTTGTCAAATTTATTCTCAATCTACAATTGAATCTACGAAGTCAATTCTCGTTTCGCCATAATATCATACGAAAGTACCACGTAATAATATCAGCGACAGTAAATTAATATGCGTCTGGGGTGATCCTTGGGCGCGAACATTTATATATATTATTTAAATGTTCGCGATGAGGCATAGAGTTATGTGGATTCTGTTACGGAATAGTGAAACTATTTTTCGATATAATTAGAATATTTGAAATTGGTCAAGCTTGATCATGATATAGTCAACAGAAAGTGCTAAATTTCACGAAATGCCACAATTTCATGTAATGATCGAATATTCATGATAAAATCAATTCTGCGATCTGGCCATGACGTATACAAAAATACCTTTAAATAAAGTATAAGTGTAATGAAAGTTTTGCAATAGTCGCAGGCAAACCAATGTTAATCAGTTCGTTATTATATATTAGTAATTAAACTAAAAACCATCTGAATTTTCACAGATTTCACTATTATCTATTTAAATTATTACTATTAAAATGAAAAACTTAAAATAAATCTTAGAAGTTTCAAATCATTTAGTAAATATAATTATTTAAACACAAAATGTAAGTTATGTTATTTAATTTATTAGTAAGTAACAGATAATTGAAAGCTAAATAATAAATAAACTTTTTACGACACATGGCGCTGTTTTAGAAACGTAGATCGTTGGCGTTGTTACAAATTATTACACAACATTTAAAACAAATTTTAAATTTTAATTATAAATATTGTATTTGTTTAAAAAATACTACGTTTTCGTTTATAACTAACAGAATCAAACATAATAGAAAATTAACTTCTGAAGAAAGGAAAATATTTAACCCTCCTTTTTTAAGTTCCGTAATCGGATAAAACGTAGCCTTTAAGTAGCCCCGTGTCACTAACTGCCTGCACACAAAATTTCATGGAGATCTGTCCAGTAGTTTTTGCGTGAATCTTTAATACACAGACAGACAAAAATTCTAAAAACCAGTAATTTGGCTTCAGTATCCTTTAGTCCCATGGACTTGTTTTTTCCAGGAAATATTAGAATTACAGACACGACTTTTCTACAGATTTATTATATGTATAGATATATACACTTTAGGTTCGGAGTGATGTAATTCGTAACGATGTTTATCCCGCAACACCACCAGAGTAACGAAAATAGACCGACGCATAGATAGGTCAAAGCCACTAGCAGAGTTTAGGCCGACCCCCTAGTAGATGGAGTAAAAACCTGGTAAGATATCATTATAATACAGGAAGCCAATGGATGCAGGTAGCATTACTTAGGGAACACATGTTCAGCAGTGAACTTAAAAAATGAAAAAAGATGACTGTAGATTTAAAAAAAAATAATGTGATCACAACAAACTGCTTAATTACTAAAAAATATGTGTTATATATTTTAACAATCTTGCGTAGATTTGATAAAATAATATGCTATATAGAAATTCCAAACTAAAAACTGCTTACGGAATTATTTTTTAATAAAACAATGTTATAGTAAAATATAAATTTTATTTAACTTTTAACCAATGTTAGTTTACAATATTTCTTGGCTACGTACAAATAAATATCGAAACTAAGAGATAATAACAATTTTAAAAACAAACAATTTCAACTATAATTGAAGAGGCTGAAGTTACACTGAAACATATTTTTGTGCTGATATATGGTTTTCTAGAATAGAATTTTAGTTTAGCTAAAGTATGCATTTAAGTTGATAATTTAACTAAATAAAAAAATGAATTCAGCCTCTACTTAACAAATTCCGCAAAATTAATTACAAATTAGTACAAAAAATAATACCTTTTGCACCGTTTATTAACAGTTTTAATATAAATTCACAACGTTTTATTGCCGGCAATTCTTATTTACCAATAAGGGGCCGATCAAGTATTATTATTACCTTAGGGCGAGGGGTCATTTTTTTACTTTTTTATTATTACGTAAGAAGGCTTAGGGGCGAGGGGTCATTTTTTTACTTTTGCTGACAAAAACCTTACAGCTTATCATTTGGGATGGGGGCCCTGAGTTCGCAATTTCCTTATTTTTATTTATACAGGGGTGGTGGGGGTTTAAAATCGTAGAAAATAAGCTTACGTAATATATGAACGCCCTCTAAATACAATTACGGCACCATTGTATTTAACAGACGTAGGTGACAAATTGTTTTTTTAAAGTGAAACTTCTTTAAGCTCGTTGATCGTACACTGATGAAATTTAAACCGAATCATTTTTGCCAATGTTTCGTATTGCGATATACACGGAAAACCAGTCAGTATGGGCGCGAGAGAAAAAGACAGATAAAGCAAATTGACTGAATAACACGATCGAAAGTGTTATTCTCAAGAATGAATAAAAAAACATACTATTTATTAACATGTGTGTGATTTCTTATGTAATATAAAAAAATTACGACCAGTAATATTTTTTTTAATTCAATTGTAATAGATCATATTTTTTTTTAATAATAAGTGCATGTAATTTTTTTAATGTTCTAGTTCTTAAAAATAAATTTTAGTTTAATTTCTAATTCACAAAATTATAAAAAAGGAATATTTCTATTATTTATTATCGTTTTTATATTATATTCCTTATTTATTTAATTTTATTTACCTATATAATTTATTTTTGAATCGTTTCTCTCTTTTCCACTCTTTATCTACCTTTCTCTCCAATGAAGAACACCAAAGAAGTTTTACATGTACTGAGTTGCAAGCGCCTTTTCTTAAAATCGAAAAAACAATTCTCAAGAAACTACGAAAAACCAATCTGTACTGTTACTTGACCTGTGGAACGGTTCAAGGGGTATCAGCCTTGTAAGATACAAACTAAATTAATAAAAACAAAAAGGCAATAGGCTGACCGTTCCATATTACTCATCTCTCTTTAAGGTCACTGCTAATACTTTGTTAAGTGCAAACGCGGAGTCATTATAGGTGCAAGACCATCTTCTTCTACCTAAATAAACTCTCTGCTGTCTGAAAATTGAAATATGTATTATTTTTACATAAAAACTAAATAGATACTTTAACATTTAACAAGAAGTTATACATCCCTTCATTTAGGTATTTGCGTGTTTTAAAAGATAAGTAATATTTTTTCTCTAATAATAGAACAAAGTGTCACCTACTTGAAATTAACGAAAGTTTTATTGAAAAATGAAAAAGTATAATTGTAGAGTTAAAAAATAATAATGTGATCACAACAAAATGCTTAATTAATAAAAAAAATGTTATATATTTTAATAATATTGCGTAGATTTGATAAAATAATATGCTATTATAGAAATTTCAAACTAAAAACTGCTTACTTTTTAATGTGACTTCACAGTAGGCGCCTTTAATTCGCTATTACATTCGTTTTTACTAAACATACCAATTCATAAGTAGATGCTACCTAATTTTAAGAAAACGTAGGGGAAGTCCGGGCAAAGTGCATCCCCGGGCAAAGTGAATAGTCCCCACTATTACCAAACCATTCGTTTGGCATTAACCACGCGGCCATAGCATCGTTCCGCCATCTTGTCTCAGCGAGCGGCAAATACTTAAGCGAGAGGGTAGTGTCGTGTGGCGTCCACAGAACGGCCAATAGTGTTTTCGAAAAATAATTTACAATATTTCGAGGTGTTTTGATGATATTTCCTATATTATTTGTTTATCATTCTTGGGCGTAGTATAGTTCTATTACGTATCAAAGTGCTTTTTTAAAATATGTCGAACAGGGAATCGAAATCAATAGTTTTTATATTAACTAACTTAACCTTAAAAGAAGTCGGGTTGGGCAAAGTGAATACGGCAAAGCGAATACGATATCCACTTTGCCCAGCTGTTACGATTTTTAGTTTCAGTATTATAAAGCTCATATTTCGTTGCAGATGGTGCATAAATACAAAAGAAAAACTAATCAAGGCTCTTGGGATAAAGATGTCATGCAGATGGCTGTAAATTTATGCCATGCCGGAGAATCGGTGAAGGGCACAGCTAAAAAGTATGGGTTGGCTTATGCAACTTTGTACGGACACATCAAAAGTGGCAAGGTTACTCCAAAACTCGGCAGATTTCGTCCTGTGTTCAGTAAATACGAGGAGATAGAATTAATGACCTATCTCAAAGACATGGATTCCGTGTTTTTTGGTTTAACTCGAGATGAGTTTAAGAATTTAGCGTATACCTATGCAAAAAAAAAATAATTTGAGTTACCCAAAAATTTGTGACAAGTATGAAAAAGCCGGAGATGATTGGCTACAATCATTTTTATCACGTCACACTGACATTACGCTCAGGACTACAGAGGCAACATCGGTTGCGAGAGCAAAAGGATTCAATAGACATGATGTCAGACGTTTCTATGAAAATCTTGAATCTTTGATTGATAAACACAATATTGATGCATCTAGATTTTATAATATGGACGAAACCGGTATTTCGACGACATCAAACAAACCCCCTAGAGTACTATCAATAAAAGGAAAGAAACAGGTGGGCATAATTGCAAGTGCGGAGCGAGGTCAATTAACGACTGTCATCGGGTGTTGTAATGCCGCTGGATCATTTCTACCACCCTTCCTGATTTTCGCCAGAAAGAAGATGCAACCCAGACTTCTTGACGGTGCGCCTCCCGGGACTCAAGGTACTTGCACGCCAAGTGGTTGGACTTCAGGTGAGGTATTTCTTGATTGGATGCATTTCTTCGTAGAATATGTACGACCTAGCGCCGACAAAACTCTTGGACAACCATGAGAGCCACAAATATTATCCTGCTTTGGAATATGCAAGTAAAAATAGCGTCGTAATTTTATCCTTGGTCCCGCATACTACTCATAAAATGAAATTTATGGATGCGGCTACGGCCCACTGGAAACGTATTTTGAACGAGAGATTAATACGTTCCAAAAGACTCATCCTGGACGCATTGTAAATCAGTGCGATGTAGCCAGACAGTTATCACCAGCTTTTCTGAAAAGTGCATGCAGTCGCCATAAATGCAGGTCATGGGTTTGAACGACCTGGAATTTGGCCAGTGAACAAATATGCTTTTGGGAATGAAGACTTTGAACCAGCGGATGTCAGCACAGGAGGCATAGATTCGATACAAACAATAGACATCCCTGATTCCGTTGCCTCTTCAACTCCTTCACCCTCACTTTTACAAGAATGCAATTCGACAGTTGATTTCCATAGTTCTACCTTCAGGAAAAGCTACAATTTGTGAATTATCTAAACCTCAACCTCAAGTCTCTGTTGCACCAATTGTAGTTTCCCAAGAATCTACTAAAACCTCAGAAAATATTATTCACAGTGAAGTATGCTCATGCTCTATTATAACACTGGAACCAGAAACAGTGTCTCTTAAAGCTTCTTCTACTTTGGAGCCAGATGCTACAAATAATAATTATGTATCCTTTAAAAAGTGATGCATTGTTACCAGGTACCTCAAAAAATACACGCAGATATGTGGACCGTGATGACCCACCGAATCCGGAACCTGGATGTTCAAACTTTCACTACACTCCCGTAGTGTTAAGACCAATACCAAATCCAGACAAACCAATAACAACTCGTAAACGCAAATTGCAAAAGTCGGAAATTTTAACTAGTACACCTATAAAAGAAGAGCAGAAGTTAACATTTGAAAAAAATGCAGTTAATAATATAAGTAAAAAACTGAATGTAGAATCAAAAAAAATCCCATAAAGATTACTAAAAAACCTGTTAAAAATAATAAACAATCAAAGAAAATTAAGAAATTTGAAGATATTGTATGTTTTTTTGCGGTGAAATATATATTGAAGAAAATAATCATCCAATTGAAAATTGGGTTCGATGTGGTGCCTGTTTCAGATGGTGTCACGAAGAATGTTCCGCTTTTGAAGGCATTGGAGATTTTACATGTGATAATTGCCAGTCTTAATTTTTAAGATTTGTCCTTTAAACGCGAATTTAAGTTTTGTCCGTCTATTAAATTCCCTAACTAGGTGTAACTTTGAGTTTTGTGTAATTAGAAGGTAGTTATTCACTTTGCCCGTGCACCATATCCACTTTACCCGGGGGTACGGGCAAAGTGAATACTATCTCAAGTTTTTGAATTTTACTTTTTGTTAGTAGTTGTTTTACTTTTAAAGTTAAATGATTACTATATATGTAAAAGCAATTAATAAAGACTGATTTGAGATATTTGTTTTGTTTCCATCTCTTATAAATTTTCTGATAAATCCTTAAATATCTTAAGGTATTCGCTTTGCCCGGAGTTCCCCTACTGAAACCTTTCCTTGCCATTCTATAGGAATGCTCACTAAATTATTATAGCGTTTTAAACAAATATTCATTTGTGATCGTTTATATTAAAAAAAAATATAGAAAAGAGAAACATCCTACTTACGGCCCAGGCCTCCTGTCATTGCTCAGAGGGTTAAATATTTATTAACATTTAAACAACAAAATACTATATTTATTATAACTTTTATTTATCGTTTTTATGTTAGAACTTAAAAGTACCTAACTTTTTATATAAACTATCTGTAACTATTATTGATTTACAATATATTCACATCCGTGTCTATATCTTTCAAATATAAACAACACAATTTTAATTAATTTATAGGGTATGTTCCAAAATAGAACCCAGTGTACTGTCCAATGCAAATGACGTCATGAATCGACGCTATACTGGTGATTCGTTCCAAAACATAGGACAGTATATGACGTCATACATTTCCGTTATATTGGAAAAGTATTGGCGATTATTTTGTCATTTTATGCTCCAAAAATCATTATAATTTCCTAATGGAGATACCAGAAATTATTCTATAATATTTTTGTATTTGAATAAATAAAAACAAATTCTGCATGCTTCATTCAGCGCACACACAATTAAAAATTGTTTTATTATGGCCGGATATCCGACACAATATGGCGGCGGCACGCCAGTATAATTAGTGTCAATTGATGACGTCATTTGCATTTGCCAGTGTACTGGGTTGTATTTCGGAACATACCCATAGTTATCATCGGTTTAGAATGATGAACGGAATGGTTTGCTGATTAATGTAATTTAGTAACTTAAATGTTATAGAATACTATAATACATAATAGAATTGCTGTCAAACTTATTTTGTACGAGATTCGGCGTCGCCGGGAGCACATATACAAGCAATTACGTCGTATTATCACTAATACAAAAAAGTAAATTTACACATTTTAGACTTTTGATTAATGTTCAAAATAATCCTTAAAAAAATCGTTTAAATGTTAATACATATTTGTATGTAAATAGTGTGTAATTTGGTATTTTCTAAATAATTTGAACGCTAATTTTGGAAACGTCATTTAGAAACATCATTATTGTTACGTCAAAACACATCTCGTGTTGACATTTATACGTATGAATTGACATGTTCGTGGCTACCCAGGCTCCGCCCACTCCCCCGTTCTATTATGTATGTATTATAATATTCTATGATTACACTCGTATCATAAATGTATTATACTATGGAAAATATGCCTCCCACCCCAACTCTATGAGCAATATATGGGGGAAACCTATGTTCAGCAGTGAACTTTTGATAGGCTGTGATGATGATGTTGATGTTAATGATGATGATGATGATGATGATGATGATGATGATTAATACGTAAAAGATGTGTGATTTTATATCTACGCATGGAAATATTAGTGGAAACAACGGAACAAATAAATTATTGTTCGTTTTGGCGCTTTCAGATAAAATTAATACACCTCGATTGGACTGAAAAAGTAATGATTTTGAAAAATTATTTTCGTTATTATTTATTACGACCATTGTCACTTAAGACCCCAATGGATTTACGAGCCAATATATAATAACCACGTCGTAAAGATGACAGGGATTTTTCGTGGCTCGTCGTGTCTTATAAACTGTTGAGCCAAACAATTATTTTTTATTGTTTGTTGCATCAAAGTGCCAAGTTTACATACAACGCTGGCGATACGCGAACATGGCCTCTTGCCTTACGAATCCTCGGTTTCATGATTTCTAATGAGATCAATGAGTAAAGACCAGCGAGTCACCTAGACCGTGGCGAAGCACTTCCATTAGGGCCTTAAGATAGTTAGACACTTGTTTTGAAATTATGTAATTAATGTCCAGGCATGTTCTTAATTTGAAATATTCAAGGACATTATGTCGTCGTCATCATCGATTGTTATGTCTTCTGTAATATACGGCATAACAAGAGACGCGTTTTCTCTTTATGAAAGTAAAGCAAATTCAAATATTCAAAAAATGTGTTTACCGTGATAAAGAAGCTCAGCCGTCGTAAACAATTAAATATAATCGTTAAATGAATGTTTATAAAAATATTTTATATACACTTTACTTTACAGACCTTAATTAAAGACGTGTCTCATCGACATGGAGTAATACTCGCAGTTTATTTATTGTTTAAAAATAATAACTTATAACAATAATGGAAATGACAATTTTATAATATATCTATATATAAAAATCAATGGGTGTCAGTCGTGCCAAAACTCGAGAATCGACTCGAGAAGAAGAAGGCTCGACCGATTTTGATGTTTTTTTTTGTATGTATTTGAGTGAGAGTAAGGGACCCTGGATGGCTTAGATTTAAAATTAGACCCGGTAGGTGACGCTGTTGTCGAGATCGATAAGTCACCCGTGCGAATCCGGGGCGGATCGCTATCAGAAAATATTTTTAAAGTATCAGAACTATTATAAAGAAACACTTTCGAACAAACGCGCTTGATATGGAAATATCTAAACTAAGGGTATGTTCGGAAATACAATCCAGTACAATGGCAAATGCAAATGACGTCATGAATCGACGCTATACTGGTGATTCGTTCCAAAACATAGGACAGTATATGACGTCATACATTTGCGCCATATTGGAAAAGTGTTTTGTCAGACTATTTTGTCATTTTGTGCTCCAAAAATCATTATATCTTCCTAATGGAGACACCAGCAATTATTCTATAATTTTTTGTATTTGAATAAATAGAATCAAATTCTGGCATGCTTCAAACAATTAAAAATTGTTTTTTGGTGGCAAAAAACGCAGCAACACTCCCCAAAAAATATTCATATTAAAAACTTACCAATCATGATTTAAAATTATAGTCTATTCATTGTTTCAACATATTCAAAAAAACTTAAAAGTCTACTAAAAAAAAAAAAACAAAATAAAACTATTTCACGCTTATAACCTCATTTTTCTGCCAAACGCACCCATTGTGGCCGGATATCCGACGCAATATGGCGGCGGCACGCCAGTACAATATAGTGTCAATTGATGACGTCATTTGCATTTGCCAGTGTACTGGGTTGTATTTCGGAACATACCCTTTATTTCTTGAATTATTACCAGTTAAATTAGTAATACACGGGGTTATATGAATTTAATATTATTTACGTATTACATTACACCATATATATATATATAAGTAGTCAATGATGCGCATAAAATGACATATTAGTTTAACAGACTTACGCCGCATTAAAGACGGAGTCTAATGTGTATTTAGTTAACATTTTCTGAGTAAAGAAAAATTACTTTCTATAATATGTTTATTTTAATTACAGGATATATATGGAGCCCATAAAACAACACGGGGCACCGGCGGACCGACTGGTGGGGAGTAGCCACAGCGTTTTTTCCGATACATAACTACATACAAAACTGTATGACATCTTTTGCGGGGGAGGGGGAGGGGAGAGTTCTGCGCATACAAAACAATCTTCATCATTCATCTTCTGTCACTACGAAACTCACAAATGACAATTAAAACAATAAGCTAACAACTTCACACACACATAGACACAATATAACACCACCGCTCTGTGACAGCGTCAACTCGGATACAAACTGATCTCATACAGATCAGCATAATATTGTATGCGGACGAGCTGCCTGTGTTGGTTATCAAATCCGAAACAACACGACCGTTATTGTTGTGATTTTAAGTTTAAAAAGAAGTGAATAGCAATAACGTGATTAAAATTAATTATATACGAAAGCGCCATCTTTTTGTAAGTTTGACTTGACAGATCGCTTTTTGCAGCACATAACTGGACAATTTGGCATTTGTGTAGGACGTTGATTCAGGCGCGCAAATGTAACCAATTTTACGATTTTATTTTTTTGAACGCACAGGGCCGCGTGGACTTGTACTTTGACAACGGTGAACGCGTGCGTATGGCTACTCACCTAGGTTCGTCGGTGACCCGTGTTACTCTATGTTGAAGCCATAAATGCCAATGTCATATTATTAAATTTTAAATACATTTCAATATATATGTAAATTTTCACAGTATTCAATATATTCTATGATTATTTCTCACAACTAAAATAATAATTATTGATTCACAAAAAAAAAAATGTCGATGATTTCCGAACATTTGACCTTGGATACCTTTTTTAGAATACGCATAGATATAAAGATGATCAAAACTGTAGAGTTAAAGTCCACCGCGGCTTGTTGACGGGTAATCTGTAAGAAATATATTTTAAGGTGAGTTATATTCTAAGAAATTATTTTGCAATACTATACGTACAGAAATTGAAATAGTAACTTTCGTCAGCAATTTTAATATAGATTTTTGCCGCTATAGGCCAACTTTATTTTATACGATGGTGACAAACGAGCACACAGTCTACTTGACGGTAAGTGGTTGCTGCGGCCCATAGACATCTACATCTATTCTCCTTTAAGATTCAAAATGCAGATGCGTTGTCACCCGTGAGGACTATGATGGAATGCCTCGTTTCCAGTAAAAAGGGTCTCCGGTTCTCTACACCCACCGTACGAAATACAGCAGCATTAAGCTACTATTTTACGCTGGTATTCTGTGAGAGCGTGGTCCTGCCCCGGTCGAGCCGACCCGTTCGTGCTACAACCGTAATATAGCTGCAGCATGGCTCTACCACGCTTAGAATGGATGGATTTTTGCCGCTAGCCTAATAGACAAGTAAGATGAAAGTGATGGTTTTTGAAAAAGAAAGTAAACGACATGTGAAATAAGGATAGAATTAGGTGAGCAAGTGGATGAATGTCTTTTAAAATATTAGATATGACAAGGACACAGAAATAATAGTAAATGTAGGATAGAGAGTGAATTGCTATTAACAATTTCATTGGTGCCTGCAAGGACCTTGTGCTAATACGGCTTTCTTTAACTAGCGGTAGTCTAGTATTCGAAATTCGAACGTAATTCATTATACGTTTAACTTTGTTTATATTAAGTAAGCTGTACTTCACTTTCAAACTAAAGTAGAGATTAAGATATCAGATCTATATAAAATAAACGCTTGGCTTGATATAAGCTATTTAGGTTGTAACATGAATGGGTCGACTCGACCGGGGAAGGTCCACGCTCTCACAGAATACCAGCGTAAAATAGCAGCTTAACACTGCTGTGTTTCGTATGGTGAGTCTAGAGATCCAGAGACCCTTTTTTACCGGAAACGAGGCATTCCATCTTAGTCCTCACGGGTGACAACGCATCTGCGTTTCGATTTCGATTTAATCGAGGATAAATGTAGATGTCTATGGGCCACAGCATCCACTTACCATCAGGTGGACTGTGTGCTCGTTTGTCCACCTTATTCTATAAAAAAACACACACTTTTGAAATCACATTAATTGCACGTTTCATTTAGTCAGTCAGATTGGCGACAATATCTACTCTGAGCGACTGTTTGACTACAGACTATTAAGTGTTTGACATTGGACTAAGAGACAACATACATACCGTACCTACTCTGACACATTTACAGTATGACCGGAAACAATGTATATAGGTTAATTTTATTTAATTTATTTGTAACACATATTATACAAAAAGTTTAGCTTTCTGCACATCTACTCAATATAAACTTTAACTATGCCAAATCTCACACTCTTGCGTGCGCGCAATATGTTAAAAAATTATACAAAGTTTTCCCTTCACGTATTAACATATAGATATTCTTTCGTAATCATCTGGACCCCTATGCTTCAACTCTACAAAACCCTATATACAGATAAAATAAATATGTTTATGTAGGAACCATAAATAAAATTGTCTTACGTAACTTCACTTCTATAATTAATTTACATAATTCGTTTTCTGCCATAAACACTCTTTTCTCTCCTCTCGCTCACACGTGCATCCATCTCATTAATACATCTTCGTTATTTAACCGAATCCTACAATTATACTTATAATTACTAAAAAAAGTAATGTTTTAAAATGTATTACCTGCGACGTTGGAATCCTCCTGAAAAAATAAATTTATATTAGTTTTTTTCTTTAAATTTCAAATCCAAATAGTAAAAAACTGGTACATAACCTCTCGAATGTCGGGATCATTTTGGCCAATATGGCGTACTTGTCGAGCACTTTCCGAAGTACTAAGTAAGTATATAACAAGTATATATATATATATATATATATATATATATATATATATATATATATATATATAATCGACACATTTACATACCATCAGGTGGACTAAGTGCTAGTTTCTCACCCTAATTTTATAAAAAAATTTAATGGCAATGGACCGGCCACATAGCTCGAAAAACCGATAACCGATGAAGAGCAAGGTTCTCAAGAGGCAGCTCCGTAACGAAAAGTAGAGTAGGGCGGCTCATCATTACAGGCTCACAAGTAGGAGAAACAAAGTATAATCCAGCTGGGTATCTTGCTGGTTCTTCCAAAGACAGGTATTCTATCCTATTTTATTTCACTAGGTGGTACACACGTACACGTGAAGAAAGCCACTTGCGTCAACACACTTTGCAATCCGTTGGTAGTGTCGGATTAAAACCGAAAAAAGACCCCAAAGGCCGGCCCCCAAACACGCTTCGTCTGATCTCTCTGATCGTGTCGGATTACCGTCCCATCGGACCATGAGAGTGTGGGAATAGAGATTGCATCCGTGCCCGCGCACTCACTGCACTATAACCAATGGACACAGGACGTCGTTAGTATGTTTTATGAGCAGTGTTGCTCTTACAGAAAAGCTATATGGAATACGCAATGTACTGCAAAGTGCCTCCAAAGGTGTACTGTTAAAACACAGATAGTAAATGGATAAGGGCAGCTCAGGACCGTGCTTCGTAACGTCTATGGTGGAGATCTATGTCCAACTTGGGCGGTAATGATGATGAGTAAATGTTCAATTGCTTAACGATGATGTAAGCCCAAATTCATAGTACTTCGATCAACAATACCAACTAGATGTCGGGTCGGCGCAAGAAATCCATCTCAGTAAATAAGAGCGCGCATGAGACGTGAGCTCTTGCACGTGAGAGTGTAACTCGCAAGGCAATAGCGGGAAAAAGAACTTTATTTGTTATAACTTAAGGTTGATTTCACACTAAATGTTATTTAATTTATGTCTTTTCATAGTTTATATTCACGCGGACAGTATTTAGCTATGATTTTGTACGTGACCCGTTATCTAGTTGGTATTGTTGATCGAAGGTTAAATAACAATGACTCACAGGGTTTAGTGGCCTCGTCCGCTGCACTGTCATGGTGTTCATCGGCACGCAGCCGTCCGCCTGGACCCCGCAGGCCTCGTAGATCTCCCGCAGCATCAGCAGCATCGTGTCCTCCGATTCCCTGGACCAAAAACAATGAAGAAACTGCTCAAGTTTACTTAGGGCATATGGGAGAAAAGTGCACGGAGACCTCTAGGAAATTTTTCGCTGACCTCAAATCAGTTTTTTTTTATAGAATAAGTGCTGTGGACCATTGACTGTACTGCTGTGGACACATCTATCTTTGATAAAGACTATAAACGCAGACGCGTTGTCACCCGTGAGGATTAAGATGGAATGCTTCGTTTCCAGTGAAAAGTTTTCGGTTTTCTACACTCGCCATACGAAACATAGCAGCACTGAACTGCTATTTTACGCTGGTATTCTGTGAGCGCGGGGTCCTTTCATGGTCGAGCTGACTCATTGGTGCTTCAACTATAATAGTCACGCTGCAGCTAGCGTGATTCTACGATGTATAATATATCTCCACAAGAGAAAATATTTCAACGACGAAACGAAATGAATGATTTTATTCAACATAAATTATTATATAATACTTATTGACAGTCATTTTTTTTTATTTTAGACATTGTCATTTTAATTTATCACTGGTTCGCCTCTGTCCTGGGAATAACCAACAAGAAACCCAACGGGACTTTCTTTTTAAACATATTAAATTTATAATAAATTTATTTAGTTACAATTTTTGAATGAATTTTTTTAGAACCAGCATTGTGGCGATCCCCTCATTCCCAGGGGTTATTTTCATTTATGTATTCATTTATACTATAATAACCCTTTTTGTACAAATTTTCTTTAATAAAACCTTTAAACCTGTTTAATGACAAATTTTGTACATATTCTGGGATTTTGTTGTAAAAGTGTATATGTAGCGTAAACATTTAGCAGTCTAAACATATGATAAAACATATATTTCGAACCAAGTCTATATTTAATTTCTTACGACTATGTTAATACCTATATGATGTTTGTCTGATCTGAACTGATCGAGTGGTTTCGGGTGGAGTCAAAATCAGTTACTGGATTTTTCCGATCAAGTAAACTCAGTTGCAACCCGAAGTCAAGAAGATGTAAAGCCTGAAGCTCGTAAAACCGTTGGTCCTCCGGTTTTTTAATTTACAGTCCAATTGAACTATGAGAGTGACGGAATAGAGAGTGCACCTGTGCTTGCGCATACACTTGGGCACTATAATCCTGTCCTGTGCCGATGGCTAGTCTCCGTTGAGACTACAATGACCATAAATTGGTTTGGAAGTCATCGTGAGGAACAAATTTTAAAAAAAGGGATATATAATAACACACAAATATCCCCCCATTATCCCACCCACCCAAAACAAACCTCTCCAAAAAAACAACTTAAATTAATTTAATTAAAAAAAAAAAAATACCCACCCCCCTCACCATTCTAAAAACCCTCCATATAATACAAATATATATAATACAAACCAGTAACAGGCATGGCTACTCATCGCGAAGAGATATTCGTTTATCATTTCAATAGGAGCTTCTTGCAGCACGTAATCGATGCGTCTGCCGTCATTTAACTTGCCCAGCATCTCAGCAGTGACCTAAAAATAATGTGTGTAAATCCAAAGCGGTAAAAGTGAAACCTTTAGAAAATTTCAAGTAAAATAGCTTTGTAGTAGCGCCATCTATTAAATTCTGTAGGTAAAGTCATTATATCGAACAAAAATTGATTAACTCTCAAGGTGGTACTTTAAATAGACGCTAGATGGCCTGAAGTTATGAAATCGTGGATCGATATTATTAGGATAACTTTATTTATTTAACCTATCACTCACTGCGCCCGCCATAACAAAAAACAGAGCTTTGTACCGGGGCCTCTGTCGTCACCTCAGCTGGCGGCACTTGTTATAAACATTTATGTTTCTCACGAACTTTCGTTTATGTTTAAAGAGGTTTTAGTTACAGTTATTTGAAGCCGATAAGATTTTTGATAAGTAGAAACAATAACCATAACATTTAAATGTTTATTTTATTTTGTACAGCTCTTTGTTTCTAACCGATCTTGATAAAGTGTACTTACTGATGATAAATTTTATTTTATGAATGAAATATCGTCAGTTTTAATTTTATTTTTATGTCCTTACAATACAACATATTCTTCCTAAATGAACCGAAATTATGCATATAATAATTATAATAATTCTACTTTTCACTTGCAAACATTTGTTAAAAATTCGACAATAGACAGTTTGCGCGCGCTTACTAAACTCATTTTCAAAACCTTTTTGTGTATATATTTTATATCGTCTTCTTTTATTTTTCTTATACAATCATATAGATATAAAATTTAGCAATTACTAGTAAAAGTATTTACTATGGTATTCCAATAAGAAATATACTATTATTATCTTATTAGAATCTTATTAGAAATCTTGACCGTTACGAATTGTTCGCGTAGAGGTTTTTTATTTCTACTTTTTTATCAATTGAAACATAAAAAGTTACTGTTGTTGTAACTTAAATCATTCAAAAAATTTACGTAGTAAAGATAAATAACATTATTTACAGTTTTTTTGAAAGAAAATCCAACTAAAATCACAATCACAAAATTTCAACGATTACGCAACCAACCTCATATATATTTGATGATGTCTATGTAACCGAGTGAATATAATGCTACAGAATATTCTTTAGTTCGTTCAGAATCGAATGAAATAGTGTTCAATCGAAAATATACTGCATTTTTATATCAATTAATGACGAAAATAGCAGCACGTAATGCGGACATGTATAATAAATTTGTTAATTTTTAACGTCTTTAAAGTACCGCTCAAAAAGGAGACTGAGATAATAGGAAACACTGTAAATAGTATTCTATCTCATTCTTTCGCAAGTTAAATCCTATAGAATCTTTTAGAATGTTTGAATCTCTTAGCGTTGCGTTTTCGTTTGCACGAACCAACACACAACACAACGATTCTTAAGAAGTTTGAATTTCAAAAAAAAATTTAGTACTCATAAGAAGCCTGGTAGATCAGGGGCGAAGAGCTTCTTGAAAATTTTGCAGTGTGCGAGCCCGGGTTCGATACCCACCGGCACCTATGAAAATTGCAATTTTAAATGTTGATTTAAGTGCTTCCCCCGGCCGAGCCGACCCATTCGTGCTGCATCCATGACCATGGAACCATGAGACTTTATGACGCTGCTGTTTGCCGGTTTGAGTATTTTACGTCGGGCGTAAACGGCATAGTTACACTACTTTTGGTCAGAGAGAGAGATAAGGGGAAAGAGAGATGGGGGGGGGGAAAGAAAAAGTGAGAGATTGGCATAGTTTTTTTGTAGATGTGAGAACGCCAAACGAGCACACATTGCAAACAGCGTCTAAATGCGTTGCCACAGCTTACAGTATTTAAGCAGCGGTACATTGAGATACTCGTATAAGCAATAAAAGCAAAAGGAAAGTTACAATGTCTATAAGTCAGCTGGGCCTCTCAAATCTGAGGAGGTTTCAGGGCAAGGAAATATTCACCATGCTGCTCCAATGCTGTGAGTGGACGTCACATGGCTTTAAAATAGTTTTTTATTTCTCCTACATGCATGTTTTCTCGCAATGTTTTCCTCCTAATACGTGGTAAACTCGGGTCTGATTACTATGTAATTTAAAGTGAGCTTTATACGTAGTAGATCGCTCGCCTCGCTGCAGCTATATTATGTTCGTATGTAGCACGAATGGGTCGGCTCGACCGGGGAAGGACCACGCTCTCACAGAATACCAGCGTAAAATAGTAGCTTAATGCTGCTGTGTTTCGTATGGTGAGTGTAGAGAACCGGAGACCCTTTTTACTGGAGACGAGGCATTCCATCTTAGTCCTCATTGGTGACAACGCATCTGCGTTTTGATTCTTTACTGAGAATAAACGTAGATGTCTATGGGCCACAGCAACCAATTACCAACAGGTGGACTGTGTGCTCGTTTGTCAACCTTATTAAATACATGATAAGAGTTATGGCACAATTGAAATGGATTGCATGATACTCTTAAAAGGTCCTCACCTCGTTATCATGGCCTGGTTCTTCTTTAGGCTCGTCTGTGAGTTGTTCCTTTTCCATCTCTTCTTCCACAACCTAAAAATGAAACAGCTTATTACGATGGTGTAATATTATTCAGAGATTTAAAAAATATGGAAGACAAGGCGATGGTAAGTGACCGTCGCCCGTGAACATCTGCAACACTAGTGGAATTGCAAGTGGTACCGGTCTTTTAGAGAGGAGAAGGTTCCTTTCTTGAAGGTTCTTGAGTCTTATCGGTTCAAAAAAACCACTGGCGTAAGGTAATTCCACATTGTGGTCGTGCGTACCACCACCATAGAGATGATGATGATGGAATTTTGAGTTCTATTACAATATACGATGCTGGAATTTAGCAGCTGGAATTAACCTGATTAATTCCTAGGTGGTAGGAATCTTGCACTGCTGTGTTTCGGTCTGGAGGGTAATAAGATTAATTGTTCACAGTAATCTGAACTTAAATTCTGAACGATTAATTTAACACCTGTAAAAATGTTACCTAAAAAGGTTATATAAGTAGGGTTCCTGCCTTGTTGTTAGCTTTGTAGTCGTAATGATTTCTTATGTTTACGTGGTTAACTGTGACATCTGCACGTTGAAAACCTCAGTCACCCTCCCCCACCCCCGTGACCATGGACGCTGTAAAGTGCTCGAAACGTCGGGAATATAGAATAAGTTAATATACGCCATAAAATAAAAACTAGTATTAAATTTGTAGCCATAACTTGATCACCCACGGTGAAAAAAGAGGAACCCACTTGGCTGACCAGAAAAGAAATTTCTACACTGGCATATTTATATACATATTCGATTGATAATGTTTAACAACGTATGATGAATTGTGTATTGGCTAAAAAACTTGTAGCCAATGCAACAATGAAGGAGAAAAAAAAATTCAGTTTAAGAAGTTTTGGCGGGAACTTGACCTTGCTCGGACATCCCCGCCAGCATTTATAAATTTTAACCGTGCCTAATATGTGTTAAGATTTAATTTAAGAAATATGTACATCTTTCTGATTCTGATATCAGTCTACGAAGGTTGTAGTAGACTTTTGCTTTCACACATTATATAAGCCATTACAAGTGTAATACTGAACATAGGACCCCTCCGTTATTCGCCGCATAGGCGAGTTGACAATCACAGTTTTATATCACTTAGGAAGACGCTACTGCCTATATCCTAGTTCTCCGTTGTAGCCTCTTAGCCGCCACTACATTTGAACCACTACATTCGATTCTAGCCCCGGAGCCACCTCACCTTCTCCAGCTGTTGGTCAGTCGGCGGCGGTTGAGTTTTCCACATAACGGACCAAGTGTTCTTGATGGACTCGAGCAACTTCTGTTTTATGTCCGCGCCGACGCGCGCCATCGTATCTTTTAGTTCTGTAAATAATAATTAAAACTTTATTTGAGACATTTATTGTTATTACTCCATAATAAGTGTAAATTATATTGAATATTATTTTAAATAAGTTTTATTTTATAGAAGAGGGACACGAGCATGCGGCTCACATCACGTTAAATGATTTCCACCGCCCATGATCAACAGCAACACCAGAGTAATTGCAGGTGCGTTGCCGGCCCTTTAGAAAGGAGTAAGCTGTTTTCTTGAAGGTCCCCAGGTCGTATCGGTCCGGAAAAATCGCCGGTGGTAAACTACTCCACAGAGAGGTCGTACGCGGAAGAAAACTCCTTGTGAAACGTACAGTGGTGGACCGCCAAGCATCCAGATGGTGTGGATGGTATCGGGACGTTTGCCGCGTAGTGCGTTCACGAAATTTGGCGGCTGGGATTAATCCGAACAATTTCTCAGAGCACTCCCCATGGTATATGCGAAAGAAAATGCAAAGAGATGCAACATCTCTTCGCAGCGCCAGTGAATCGAGCCGATCGGAAAGCACTCGGTCGTCGACGATTCGAGCCGCTCTGCGCTGGATGCGGTCAAGTGGAAGGAGCTGGTACTGGGGAGCTCCAGCCCAGAGATGGGAACAGTATTCCATGTGCGGCCGAACCAGCGCCTTGTAAAGTTGCAAGCGGTGTGCCGGCATGAAATACTGACATACCCGCTCTGCTGAGCACGTCAAGCATTTTAGAAGCCAATTTGGCCTTCTCTTCCAAGTGACCACGAAACTGCGTGTCACTCGATATATCGACGCCGAGGATCAAATCAAATCAAATCATTTATTTGCAATCTAAGTGTACATAATTGGTATTAAATTAAAAATGTGCTTACAACTTAGACGCCCTTTTCAGGCACTGCAAATTTGACAAGGGCACTGCTTATGTACTATTAACATACATAAAATAAAATTAAAAGCTATAAAAGATATAAAAATATATAATAGTGTTATTTTTTATCTAAATACTCTTCTACTGAGTAGAAGGGGTTTTGTTTTAAATATTTACCGAGGCTTGATTTAAATTTGGTTAATTCTGATATATTTTTTATTTCCTGTGGTAATTTATTATATACTTTTATTGCCATATAGTAGGGGCTTGTATTTAACATTTTTGTTCGCGACTGTGGTAGGTATAATTTATTTTTGTTACGTGTATTTAAGTTATGCGTATCTTTAATTTTCTTAAAACTATTATTATTTTTGTGGACAAACAGGCATAGATCATAAATGTACATACAGGGTAAGGTAAGAATATTTAGTTGTTTGAAATACGGTCTACAGCTAGTAGTGTTATCTATCTGGGCTAGTATTCTAACGCACTTTTTCTGGGTAATAAAAAGCTGCTGCATATCGACGCTACTTCCCCACAGCATAACTCCGTACTTAAGCCACGAATGAGCATAGGCATAGTAAGCTGACAATGCCGTGGCTGTGTCAGTGGTGTATTTAATTTGAAATAAAGCGTACGTAAATTTTGAAATTTTAGACTTTATATAATTAATGTGCGTTTTCCAATTGATGTTTGAATCTACTTTCAAACCTAAAAGATTAAAAGTATCAACTTCTTCTAGTTGTATATTATTAAAGTTTATGTTTAAAGTTAATGGGCTGCTTTTATATGTTTTAAATTGCATAATTTTGGTCTTTTTAAAGTTAATTTCTAAGTTGTGATCTTCAAGCCAATTTGTTATAGTTTGTAGAGTGTTGTAGACAATATAGTTATAATTTGTGTTTTTATCGCAGTTCACTAACACTGACACATCATCGGCAAAGAGTACGCTTAATGTGTTTTCGTTATTTATTATCTTGGGTAAATCGTTTATATATATTAAAAACAATAGGCATCCTAAGACACTACCTTGAGGGATTGAACATGTGAGGTCCCGGATTTGAGACTGTACTACAACGATTTCCCGTTTTTCATCGTTGCGGTGTTCGATTTGAACTATCTGCTTCCTGTTTGTCAGATATGATTGGAACCATTTATAGGCCGTGCCACGAATTCCCGAACCCTTTAATTTATTTAAAAGTATATTGAATTGAACTTTATCGTATGCTTTCGTCATATCCAAAAGGAGGCCTATGGCGGCTCTTTTTTTATCAATATTTTGCGCTGCCGTTTGGATATATTGGTATACTGCCAGAGTTGTTGATCTACTTTTTCTAAAACCGTTCTGTGATTCGTCTAATATATTGTATTTTTCTAAATAATGATAGAGTCGGTTACACATGGCTTTCTCAAATATTTTAGCAAACGTGGGAAGCAGGGCTATGGGTCGATAGTTACTGAGCGTTAGGGGGTCGTCTTTTTTAAATATTGGTTTTATTAGTGAAATTTTTAGTGCATCCGGAAACTGAGAATTTTCAAAACTTTGGTTTATAAGTGAAGCTAAAGGGATAGCTAATATTTCTGCACATTTCTTTACCAGGATTGGTGGTATATCATCAATGCCACAGCTATGTTTATTTTTAATATTTTTAATTATATTCATTATTTCTCTTGGATCAACAGGGGTTAAAAAGAAAGAGTTTGTTGGTGGATTTATAACGGGATGTCTATTTACCATATTATTGGAGTTAGAACATTGGCCTACAGTGGCAAAGTACTCGTTGAACATATTTGTTATGATGTGGGGGGGAAGAAATTAATGTATTATTTTCTTTTAAAATTATATTTTGAAGTAATTTCGTTTTATTTTTACCGGTTTTATTATTAATAATTTTCCACATCGTTTTAGTTTTATTGTCAGATTTTTCCATTTGTTTAATGTAATCTATTCTTTTGGATATTTTTATACATTTTTTTAATATTTTACTGTAAATATTGTAATGTGTTCGTATAACTTCGTTTTTAGTTTCATTTTGCATTATTTTTAATATTCTTTTATGTCTGCACGATTTTTTTAATCCCATCGTAAGCCAATTTTTTTTAGTACTGTAGTTTTTAATTTTAATTTTTTGTAGTGGTATATGATTATTCAGTATTTTTGTTAAACTGGCTAAGAAATGCGAGTAGTTTTCATTTAATCCTTTATTACTGTTTATTATATTCTCCCATTTTATTTTATTTAGTGATTCCTTAAATTTATTTATATTAACATTGGTAAATAGTCTTTTTTGTTTAAAGTACGTAATATTTTGTTTTATTAATAAATTACTTGTATCAATTTCTATGTTTATTGCTTTATGATCTGAGATCCCATAGTCAATTACTTGAGATTTCTTTACAAGGGATGAATAATTAGTAAATAGTAAGTCAATGCAAGTGGAGGACTCTTTAGCAATTCTCGTTGGTTTATCTATTAATTGTTTAAGGTTGTATGAAGCCATGAAATTCAAAAAGTTACGTGTAATTTTGTTTTTATTTAAAATGTTTATGTTAAAGTCTCCCGCGATTATAATATATTTATTTTTTTCTTTTGTGTTAAGTTTATTTAGAAGTGTATCTAATTGCTTAAAAAATAATTCTAAGTGTCTATCAGGTCTATATATTCCTATGATAATGCATTTCAGTTTGGGAATTTCTATTGCACATAGTTCAACAATAAATTCTTTGGAATAATTTACAATATCAATTCTTTCTATAAACTCTAAATTGTTTTTTAATATTAAGCAAACTCCACCTCCTTGTTTATATTTCCGGCAAAAGTAAGATGCAATTGTATAGCCTGGGATGGTTAAGGAATTTAGATAGTATTCATCTTTCCACAATTCAGATAATGCCAGTATATCAACATCTGTTTCTAACATTATTTGTTCAAGTATATCAATTTTATTACCAATACTTTGAATATTTTGAAAACTTAAAGATAACTTATTGAAATTGTTTTTGAAATGTCCCGTTCTGCTGACACGTAGTAGAGTTATGTGGCATGGTATCTGGCGAAGATTGTTCTTGGTATTGCATAGAAGTTAGTGGGGTAGAATCAGGAATATCGACGTCCTTTGTGGATATGCTTGCGCCTTCCGTCCGGTTCGTAGTTGTAGATTTACAAGTATTTGTGTATAGTTTCCCATCAACATAGAGTTTATTATTTTTTATATACGCGTTTTGTCCATTTGTCCTCGCTGTTTTCATATTTCTGATGAGTTCCTTCCTTTCTTCTAGCGTTTTTCCACTGACGAATTTTCCTATGGATAATCCAGTATTTTTAAACTTGATCGTATTGTTAATTACAAAATCGGACATCCTTTTACTTATTAATTCTATCGCAATAGGTCGCCGACGGTTTCCACGTCTCCCAAGGCGTTTGATTTCTTCTATGTAAGGGCATATATTGATGTTTAATATATCATGGAACAACCTTGAAACACGACCTACTAGCTCGTTTTCGGTCTCAGAGTACCCTTCCATGAGGCCATATAGTACTATTTTCTTTGAGTTTTTCAAATTGTAGAGTTCTTCTTCAATATTCATGATTTTTTTGTTGAGATTTTTTATTTCTTCTTGAAGTTGCTTTTGAGAATCTATTAATTTACTGTTTAGATCGTTTTCTATTTTATTTTTAAAATCTTTTAGAGAATTGTTAATTTCATCTTGAATTATGTTCCTTACATCTGAAAGTATACAAGTTTTCATTCGCTCCAGTTTTGTATCCAATAAACTACCAATTTGTTCTAGCGTTAGCGATGTGCTAATTCCCACGTCTTCTGTGAGTGTTGTTGCTGTGGTACTTGCATTTTTCTCAATGGTTTGACTCAAAAGAGTATTTTCCGCTATGTCATCTATGCTAATATCGCTAGCACTTATGTTAATATGTTCATTTATAGTTTTTTTCCTGAATGTTACGTTTGGATCTGCTAATTCGTTATTTTGAAGTAAGGTCTTTATAGGGGTATTTGGATTCGTAATTTTTGGTATTTTGCAACGACAAGCCTGACATTTCCAATTTTGTTTCCTTTCAGCTGGCATAATGTTGTAAAAATATTTTTCCGTAACATTTGCGCAGTTTAAGTCATAATAATTTTTACATAGTGCACAAAAAAGATGTTGTCTTCCAGGTATTTCTTGCATACAACCTGCACATTTATTTTTCTCACTGTTCATTTTTAATATAATTGATAGCACCCTCTTTTGGTGGATAAAAGTTGTATAAACAGCAGATATGGTACGTTGTTATTAGTTCTTGTGTTCCAAACTAGATATCACTATTTATATTATAATTTGCAACCACTAATTTCCACTAGATGGCGTTTTTCGTACAATCTTTTTATGTGTGTAGACGGCGGGTATATAATATATAAATTTGAAATCTACTGGTTTTAATATATAGAAATAAAGTTTTATGGTCACTAAGTTGTTTTAACCCATACACTATTTGTTTGTGTGTGTGTAATTAAGCTCACTTATACCTTTTTATCACTTTTTTATCACTGTCACCTATGTTTTACATAGTATTTATTTAGTTCACACGAATAATTTTACACAGCTGTTTTTAACTGTTTTTTATATTATTCGATAGATTTAGCACTGGATAACACTTGTACTTGTTTACTACTACTAAATCTTTGTTTTAAACTACTTTTTACATTTCACTAATCGTTATTAATAATTTTTTGGCGAGAAATACGTAGAACTATTGTTTACAAACTGAGCAGCGCCGATACTGGCTGAGGCAACAATAACAAAACAAAATGCCAGTGCCTAAATATATATATATATATATATATATATACATATATATATATATATATATATATATATATATATATATATATATATATATATATATATATATATATATATATATATATATATATATATACAATATGTAACGTAATTAACGTACACCCTCAGACACCCCAATTAGTATATTATATTATAATCATAATACATACACTGATTAAATTTTTATGCACTGATTATCAAATTAGTTATACTAATTCCGGAAGAATCTTGTGGTCACAGTACAAATCCACGAACGCAAAGACTTTAACGTGCTTGAAATAAAGTTCATTTTTCTTTATTTTTATTGAATGACAGAATTGGTAATAATACAAATAAAACTGCACTCTTAAAAGTCTTATTGCCTTAAGTTACGGTCCATTTCAGTCTGTTTTAACTGTACAGATTTAGTGTGACTGTAATTTACGTAGTTTTAATTATTTTTGGGATATAAAATTACCTACATTAAAAATGATAGGAATCGATTCAGTAAACGATTCTGAGCAAACTACTTTCTCAAAGTGCGTTAATTATGTTTCATGTTGTACTATATATATAACTCTTCTGTTTGTGACTAATCTCCTAAACAGCTGGACCAATTTCATATGGAATTTTGTGTGTGTGATTAAGCTTATTCGGAAAAGGTTTAGATTCATAATTGGAGCCGGCAGGTGGCGCTGTTGTCGAGATCCAGAAATCGCGCGTGCGAAGCCGGGTTAATTAAAGAGGGTTATTTACAAAGAGTAGCCAAATTTTGAACTTAAGTTTAAATAAATAATGATGTACCGTATTGCAGTTTTGAAAATTACGAATAAATAAGACTTCTACTTTGATTTGACATTATCCCATCGATAATTCAAAGGATCGAGGTCGGATGGACCATTACGAATGTGTAAATCAGTAAAATAATTTGCATTTTGAATTTAAAGGATAAGAAAGGACAGAATGTTTGAGATTTTTTTAAATTAATTTTTCTTCACTATTTGCCTATATTACTAATTATGAACCTTCTCTGCAAATTTGACCAGTTATTGCAAAATTACCCTGGATAATAAACATAAATAATATAAGATATCGACAAATTTGGTTGTTCGGGCACAGCGCGTCATCAATAGATCGTTAAAAACGTATTTCTAAAACTTCTTGCAGCCCGGATATCTCTGAAAGGTTTTTATTTAAAATAAAATCTTTTATATTAAATAAAACCTTATTACTTATATATTAATTTTACAGTATGCTCCAACCTACGTTCAACCCCCATTGGCAACAACGAAATTGTCTGAGGAACTATTCTCAATATTTGTCATGTAATTAGGTAAGTTGTAGATAACTGCGATTGACCGTATTGTATTTTACATGTACCATTTACTGGAAATGCGGCATTCCATCTTAGTCCTCACGGGTGACAACTCATCTGCATTATGATTCTTAACCGAGGATAGATGTAGATGTCTTCTACAAGCCTCAGCATGCATTTACCATCAGGTGGACTGTGTGCTCGTTTGTCATCCTTATTTTATAAAAGAAACCAAGTTCGTATACATTATTAGTTTTGTCATGGATATCGATAACAACATCGCTAATATTAAATAAATAAATAAAATATATCGAGGGTATGTGAATAGCCAATACGCACTGGAGCAGCCGCGGTGGAATGATTCCTCTATAATCCTCTTACAAATGAGAGGTCTGTGCCCAGCGCTGGGACATTTGTACGCAGTAACTTTAATATTTACATAATATAAAATATTTAGTACCGAACCCAAGACTAGATGCATAAAAAATGTCACAAAAATAGTTTAGGAATACATAGTTGAGAATAAAAAAAATTAATTTAAAAATAAATCTTTCAATTTAGAAACCTACCCAAGTGCATACGTTTTCTTCCTTTGTGGTGAGGAATTTGCAACGGTTTCACGTCTCTTAGTTCAGGATTTATTAGGGGTTCGATTCTGAAATAAACATAAAGAGCAAATTTAATAAATACCAATCCTTAGTATAGATTACTTAAATATGACTTACGATTATAGTTTTTTTACGAGTATGTGAATGATATTTGCTTAGACTCAGAACAGAAAGTTAAAAATTCAGTTTATTATAAAAATAAATACTTTTATATACATCAAAATCTATGACCAGTTTAAAAGTGCTACACTTTCTAACTAGACGAAAACTAAACTTAATTTTTTCTGCACGTTTCGTTTAAAAAAATAGGTAAATATATTAATTCCACATAATATATCCTTATCCTTTTACCGGAAACTTAAAATCACGTTCGTCTTAGTTCTCAAGGGTGACAACGTATCGGCATTTTCATAGTTCTCAAGGGTGACAACGTATCGGCATTTTCATTTTTAATGAAGGATAAATGTAGATGTCTCTAGGATATAGTATTCACTTACCATCAGCAGAGTGCGTGCTCGTCTGTCAAAAGAATAATAATGGAATAGAATAATTTTCCAGCTGTAGAGAAGACTTGACATGATCGTCTTTCGTTGTAAATTGCGGGTAGCAACTCGCCTGGCGAGCATGGTAACAAACCCAAATATCTCCCCTATGAGACAACCTACGGCAGAAGTCTATGTTCAGAGTTGTATTTCTTTAAGGGTGCAATGAATGAATTAATAAAACCTGACTGATCTCTGATGAAGAACGACTTTCGATAAGTATTATTTATAATCTATATAGTACGTATGGTCATCCGGTTGATATGGTCACTTTCTTATAACTCAAAAACTACAGCCTTGTTTGCATAGATGGCGCTGTGATACGATAACTCTTCATCAAATCAAATAGTAAAGGGTCAAAAGGGCGCTGCTTAAGGCCGAATACGACGCGAATGACCTTGCTCGTTTCGCAGCAAAACACGCGCTGCCAGTACCTACGCTTTGTTTATATAGACATGTATAATACCTATAATCAAAGCCGTACGGGCTTTGATTATATTTGACTGAACTAGCTCAGATGCAGAGTAATGAATAACACAGAAAGCATTGCTTACTTCTTAAATAAATTTTTCTTATTTAAAATATTAGTTCCAATAGATTATAAATTCTTTACTTTATTCGTTATAAAATATTGTTCGAAAGTTATTGAATTGATAACGATTTTTAGTGTTTCTCACTTGAAACTAGAAAAGTATAAATGATCAGTTTGGCTAATGTAAATGAGTAAAAATGCAACCTATTAGGCAGCCTCAAACAAAAAATTACCTTACTAAATATAAGTATTAACCTCAAAATACAATATTCGAGCAGCGTTCATGCGATAAACTCTCTTTGTTTTACCACTTAGGTAACATTTATTTCTTTTCCTACCCATATTTACATTTATAGACACTTAAACGCGTATAAAACAATAAATTAACGATTTTCGCTACAGACACATCGACTGTTGTTATCTTACGTCACACGTCGAAGCGCCTGGTAATTTATTACGGCAAACTTTTATCTGGCAATATACGATATTATTATTAGGTGTTTTTAATGAAAATAAAGATAGCAGGTACCTTCGGAATTACAATACAAACATTTTTAAGTAAAAGAATTTTTCCTAAATTAAAATTCACAGAGTTTTGGAAGAACAATAATTTTATATATCATTTCTTAACATTCTTTTATTTGTTGGTATATTCATTTATTTTAAAATTTTAAAATGACGGTGACATTTTGAAGGACCCGAACAAACCTACAAAAATGTTTTAAACCTTAGAATTACTTCAGGTCAAAGTTCTAGTCAAGAGAAATACATTAATTTTCGCCATTTCTCTTCGTATTCGGCCTTAATCAACGCCATTTTGACAGTTGACATATTTTAGTCTAATTTATTGTTGTGTCGAAGTGTTCCTAATTATCTTAATTATTGCCAAAGCTTGTTTGCTATTTTTTCTTAATAAACTAGTTATTACTATAACTAAGACATTATATATTATAGTATACTTACGACATTGTGCTTTTGTCTCCGTCCTCCTCCTAGGATATAAAATAAGGATGACTAACGAGCACACAGTCCACCTGATGGTAAGTGGATGCTGTGGCCCATAGACATCTACATTTATCCTCGATTAAGAATCAAAACGCAGATGCGTTGTCACCCGTGAGGACTAAGATGGAATGCCTCGTTTACAGGAGAAAAGGGTCTCTGGATATCTACACTCACCATTTGAAACACAACAGTGTTACGCTGCTATTTTACTCTGGTATTCTGTGAGAGCGTGGTTCTACGTCGGTCGAGTCGACCCATTCGTGCTACAACCATAATATAACCGCAGCGTGGTTCTACCACGTAAGTTTTGGTTTTATATGGCAGCAAAGCTTAATATGACCAACATTACACTCACGTACCTTTTATATTGAATAAAAAAATCTATTTCTATTTCGACTCCATTTCATCTCACGTCTAAAGAAGTCATAAGTTTAAAAAAACTTACCTATAAGCGATCGGATCGTAAGGGTGGAAGATATTGAAGAATCTCTTGCAGGTCGGCAAACAGAATTCAGGACCGAGCAGTTCCACTCCACGTATGCACTCGAAAATCGCTGTAAAGTGAATTGAATAAGAAAAATTAGAGCGGTGTTGGGAGTGGTGTTTTTTTTATAGAGTAAGAAAACCTGTGACAGTGCATGCTGTGGACCAGTAAACTCACCATACGAAACACAGCAGCATTAAGCTGCTACTTTATTTTTCATTTTTATTTAATATTCTTTATTGCACACCATATAAAAAATTACAAAGTACATATCCAAAAGAAGTACGCAATGGGCGGTCTTATTGCTGATAGTTTAGTTTAGTTTAGTTTGCGACGGGCTGTTTTCCGCAACTCCACGTCTATGCGCGTATTTTACGTGTGGGCAGGAATAATGTGATTATTCGAGCCATGAGATCTCCCCGAAGAAGCTCAACAGTCCCTTGATGTTGCATGCAACTTCGGGGGAGTGATCCCGGCGTGCCGAGATGTTTAGCCCTGTACGTAGCGACCTCCGGACATTTCAGTAGCACGTGGGCCGCCGTTTCTTCCTCCCCCATACATGCCCTGCACAGGGGACTATCTGTAACACCTATAGTAAATAAATGTTTGTTAAAGGTGCCGTGTCCTGTGATAGCACTAGTTACTATCCTGATCTGCGGCTTGTTCTGTCTCATTAGAACTTTGGTTAAGCGACTGTTTATTACAGGCAAGGCCTCCCTAGCTTGTCTACAGTCTACTAGATTTTTCCAAAGCTGAGCGTGTTGATTAGTGAAGTGTCTACGTACCATTGAACGAACGTTACCAAAGGGGATTGGTATGATTGGTTCCGGCCCTATAGTGGCCAGAGCCGATCCTCTTCTGGCCAGTTCGTCCGCTGCATCGTTGCCTCTGGATCCACTGTGTCCCTTTATCCATTGCAGAGTCACATTGTTGTTTTTACATGCCTCATTTTATCGTTCATATATTAGTCCCGAGTTCACCCCATTGCAACTCAGAGCTTGTATTACCGCCCTACTGTCGGTCAGTATTCTGATGGGGAAGTCATTAACCTTCCTAGCATCTATTGCTATGGCCGCTTGAATGATACCCATACATTCCGCCTGAAAGACCGTGTTATAGGTACCCAGCGGTGTGCATATGTGAATATTGAGGTCTTCAGAGAAAGCTCCAGAACCTACACCTTCATTTGTTTTAGAACCATCGGTGAAAATTCTAAGCTCTTTTGGGCTTAATCCTTCCGGCTGGCTGTTTTCATTTAATTGTATCTTGTATTTAATATCGAAAACAAATTGTTTAGGAATCCTATCGTATTTGGCTTGTAGGATAGGAATTTCTGAGTGAATTCTATCAATTATCCCTGTACGAGGGACACTATTCTTACTCCAAAGATTTAGGGTCTTGAGTCTGATGGCAGCTAAAGTCGCTTCTTGTTGTATATGTAGATGAAGCGGAGTTAGCTCCAGCATCGCTTCCAAGGCTGCTGTTGGCGTAGTTCTTATGCAGCCTGTGGCAGCCATACATGCCAGTCTCTGGTAGCGCTGAAGCTTCTTAATTGTGGTGGCTTCATTGGTCTTGGTCCACCATACCAGAGCGCCGTATGTGATCATGGGCCGAATTACAGTTTTGTAAAGCCACAGTATGATTTTTGGCGTCAGTCCCCATCTTTTGCCAATCATGTTTCTGTATTGCCAGAAAGTTATACTAGCTTTGTTGATTTTGTTTTCTATGTGTTTATTCCAGTTAAGTTTGCTGTCCAAGGTAAGACCTAAATATTTTACCTCAGAGGATAGCTGGAGTTTTGTGCTGAAAAGACTTGGAAGATGATAGTTATTCAGCATTCGTTTTTGTGTGAACATTACTAAAACCGTTTTATTTGGGTTGACGGTTAAGTCGTATTCCCTGCACCATCTCTCCACTATACGGAGAGCCGCTTGGGTCAGGTCGCACACAATGCTTGCTGTCTTTCCCGAGACCAGTATTGTCAGGTCATCAGCATAACCTACTGTATAGAAGTGATTAGTATTTAATTTGCTGATGAGTTCATTAATGACCATATTCCACAGGAGAGGTGAGAGGACCCCACCCTGCGGGCATCCTTTCATGATCTGAATCTGAAATGGTTGAGATTCACCAGCAATCTTTATTATTCGTGTACTGAGCATGCAAACTATCCAGTCGATCAGTGCCGGTTCAACTTTATGTCTACTGAGTGCACCTTTTATGCTGGAGAAGTTCGTTCTGTCAAAAGCACCTTCTATATCTATGAAGGAACCTAGACATATTTCTTTGTTTTGGATGGCCTCTTCGATCTTTGTAATTACCTGATGAAGTGCCGATTCTGTTGATTTGCCTAGACTGTAGGCGTGTTGCTTGTCGTGTAGTGGTAAGTTCATTAGCGCCGACCCCCTTAATTCCCTTTCACACATCCTCTCCATCGTCTTTAGGAGAAAGGATGTGAGGCTAATGGGCCTGTAGGATTTAGGGTCAGTGTAATCGCTCTTACCTGGTTTGGGTATAAATGTGACTTTCACTTCCCTCCATCCCCTAGGAACATATTTAAGAGCCAGACAGGCTCTCATTATGGCAACAAGTCTGACTATTAGGACTTTACCCCCCCCCCCCACTGTAGGAGTGCCGGGAATATGCCGTCAGGTCCTGCCGCCTTATAGGGGAGGAAACTGTGAATGGCCCAATGGATTTTGTCCATCGTTACCACTCTCTGTGCTAAATTCCAGTCTTCCACTGTTGGTGTCAGTATGTCGTCATGCCGGTTTGCCTCCTGGGTTAAGCAGCAACCTGGGAAGTGCGTTTTAATTAGGATGCGTTGGGCTTCATCCGGCGATGTTGAGTAGCTACCGTCAGGTTTCTTTAGAGACATGGATCCCGACGTGTTCTGTTTAGCTAGAATATTCCTTATCCTATTTGTTTGTTCGCAGGTTTCTATGTTGCCACAGAATTTACGCCACCCAGTCGAGCGTTTTTTTTTATAGTAGAGGGGGCAAACGAGCATGCGGCTCACCTGATGTTAAGTGACTACCGCCGCCCATGATCAACCGCAACACTAGGGGAATTGCAGGTGCGTTGCCGGCCCTTTAGAAAGGAGTAAGCTCTTTTCTTGAAGGTCGATACCTGATACATTTTTTGTATTCAGACTTAGCTTTCTTATATAGTAGCCAGTCTTCATCCATTGAGGTATTCATGGCCCTATTTATTGCTGATAGTAATTTCTTCCAGACAACCAGTGAATGGAGAGGATTACACAAAGATGACAAGGGTAGGGCACATTGGTGTAATAAAAAAAAGAAGAGTACATATTTTATACATATACATATATATATATATATATATATATATATATATATATATATATATATATACAATGTTTATTGTACATATACTACATATATACATACAAAAAATAAATATATATTTAATTATTTAACTAAATGCAATCAATACACCACATATATATTATATTAAATGGCTAGTGTGGGAGCGAAGTTAAAATCAAAGTGCAGGTGCCGGAAAACCGGTAGGGATGGAGCACGTTTAACTGCCAATGGGAGTTCATTAAATAATATTGACAATGGAGTGTGTTTCCTGACACTAGTGAAGAGTGAAATAGAGATAAAACACGAAGGAGGGCTGCAAGCGTTTCGAAGAGGTAACGCTTGCAGACCATTGCAGTGTTGCCTCGTTAAGAGGCGGAATACGTGTCGTATTATCGACTGTGGTGTGTTTCCTTGTGTTGAGTTGGAGTGCGTGTTCTGGTATAGTGGTGTTGGGTTGAGTGGTGGCAGTGATAATGCGCACAATTGTGGGATGGAGGGAAGTGGTCTTTAAAATAGTTAAAACACAAGTAGTTTTTCATAATTAATTAGAAAAATCTTAATTAACCAATTAACAATTGATAATTGTTGACCAATAGTCGTTCAGTAGTGTATAGATTGCCTTAAGAGGGGGGGATTTTAGTAGTTTTTTTTTATATTTAAGTTGTTATTAGGAAGCTAGTGCCCATCTTCCTGTTTCTTTCCTTCCCCTCTTCCGGCACCAACGGGATGTAATATGGTAGTGGATATTTTTACACCACCAGTACATGGATCGATAGAAAAACTACTGTTGCGGACGGCGAAGAGGTAATCGTCCGTCGCCCCGCACCACACCCACGTGGACACGCCTCCCGCAACCCGCATCAGAAAAGGGCCCCGCAAGTACAAACGCTTGCACCAACTCTGTGCTTACGTAACACCGACCGTCGAAATAAAACAAGCGCTTCTGACGAGATTTCATATTGAAAAGCCACCGGTGCACGGTGGTATCAACGGAACTCTGATTTACACAATGATTGTGAACTACCTACTTTGATAGAGTAGAAACCCACCCCAACCCGCTAGTGACAAACGCAGCTAACTACGTTCCGATAACAAACGTCGCGCCCTATCTCCGTAGACCGCGAAATGTTTTAATAGAACCACCTATATCGCTCGATCCAGTCGACCCAAGCGTCGCAGGCACATCACACAACGACACTACACCCACACTAAATGGGACAAACACAAATAGGACAACGAATGGGACGCGTCGCACCCGCAGACGGGCACGACGCGTTCCAGCTCACACCGCGTACACACCGTACACCCGCGTTCCTGGACGGTTCTCACCGCCCAGACCATCGACCGACACGAGCTGAGCAGTCAGAGACGGGAGTCCGCACCCCCCCCCTCGGACTGCGGTTAGATAGCTCAAAGAAAAACGCCTAAAAGGCGACATGATGATTCGTAACAATATCAAATCATAAACCATCTCATCATCATCCTCACCTCATTTCCTTTCCTTTTTTTAATTAGCTCGAGCCCTGAGATAAGATGAAGCTGTAAGAGTCGCATAGACTAACAGCACTAACATCTAGATAATAGAGAGAGATTTCATAAATCATGCGGCTACAGCTCTCAATACAGAACAAGCAATAAAGAAGTCCTCAAGATCCCTTTTAGGGTCATATAGTGTTTTAGTATCAACTGCCGCCAATTAATTGTAAATGGTGCACAATATAGTGATTATTTCAAAGCTCTTTAATTTCGTCTCAACCCCTGTTAGTTTAAAATAGCAATTTTCATCGATTAAGTTATTAGTCAGACAGATGTCACAGTAATTAGTTTTCTTCACAGTAGTTCAGTTTCTCCCTCAATAAAACATAAATACAGTCCACTTAGCTCTCATCCGCTACAACTATTTATGTTCTTATCTCAAAATTCATAAACTTGGTTTTTGTAATCTCATACCGTATGAAACAACAATTTGAGTATTCTTCAAAAAATTTATTTTGAGTCTGGATGTATATCTGTGCGCAGTTTATTACGGTTAAAATCTCGTAGTGTTTGGATACGTTTTAACTACAGTAGAACCACGCTGCACCTATAGCATAGTTGCAGCACGAATGGGTCGGCTCGACCGGGGAAAGCCCACGTTAGTCTCAGAGCACCAGCGTAAAATAGCAGCTTAATGCTGCTGTGTTTCGTATGGTGAGTGTAGAGAACCGGAGATCCTGTTTGCTGGAAATTATGGATTCCACCTAAGTCCTCACGGATGACAACGCATTTGCATTTTGATTTGTAATCGAGGATAGATGTAGATGTCTATGGGCCACAGCAACCACTTACCATCAGGTGGACTGTGTGCTCGTTTGTCATCCTTATATTACAAAAAAAAACGACTTACCTATGGGGCTTCCAAGTGCGTACAGAGCGTCGGGATTGAACTGCAGTCGTGGATATTTCACGGTGGGCTGTCCCGTGCCCGCCGTGCCACTCACGAACTGCTTCTGCGCCTGTTCCTGCGGGAGCATTATAACAACACAACTTTGAGCTTGTGAATGAAAAACGACATATCGACTTAAGAAATTGTAATGTAGTGAGACAAAAGTTTTTAATAGTTCAACAATTTTTTTATATTATGAAAACGTAACCTCCACACTAGGATTTTCTACTGTACCGTGAGGGCAATTTGCATACATGAACTTCACAAGGACAAACATCCAGACTGGGAACAACAATTATTCGAACGGGATTCGAAGGCGCGACCCGCTGCAACTAATTGCTAAGCTACAGAGGCCGAAAGACACGTTAGTTTATTTCATTTTATGTTTCATTTCATCTTTATATATATAATACGCAGTTTTTTTTTGTAACAAGTAACCGTTACAAGAAAAACTGCGTCTTATATCCGTACAGCACTTACCATCAAGTGGACTGTGAGCTCGTTTGTCGGGACTGCTGTGGTTTAGGGACGAACCCAGTGACAAACAGGTGGACGCCACGCGTACCGAGCGTGGCCTACGGCTCTATATTCTCTTGTATTCAAAGCAACTGATCACTTATCGGGAACAGTGACTTAAGGTCCAGAGGCGGACATTTATCAAAGTTGTATTTTATTACAATCTTGAGTAGATATCTTTTCTTAGTTTCATTATGAATCTTCTTGGAGCCTTATCGTATTATCGTATCGATTATGTACTATCGCTGTTCGATTAAGGGAAAATATAATCTCAAATGGCTTAGCAAGATCCTTCGTTATGCCGAAAATATTGCAGCATTAATTTTGAAATAAATATATGGTAAAGTTGAGGATTAATGTTAAGGTTAAGGTTAAGACGAAAACACGATTTCGTAAAATTTTCGAAATCGTGTTTTCGTCTTAACTCTTAACTTAACTTAAAAATCCAAAGTTACCTCCAAAATAAACAATAAACCGCTGTTATTCATAAAATACTTTAAATAAGTACATGAAACTTTGCATACTAACTGAACTAACTATAAAGCAGTGCTTATGTTATTTACTTTTTTTAAAATACCATTATTTTCACTGTAAAAAGAAATTTTTTTTTTTTTTTTTTTTATAGGATAGGGTGACAAACGAGCACACGGTCCACCTGATGGTAAGTGGTTGCTGTGGCCCATAGACATCTACATCTATCCTCAATTACGAATCAAAATGCAGATGCGTTGTCACCCGTGAGGACTAAGATGGAATGCCTCGTTTCCAGTAAAAAGGGTCTCCGGTTCTCTGCACTCACCGTACGAAATACAGCAACATTAAGCTACTATTTCACGCTGGTAGTTTGTGAGAGCGTGGTCCCTCCCCGGTCGAGCCGACCCATACGTGCTACAACTATACTACTAATATAACTGCAGCATGGCTCTACCACGTAAAAAATTACCTAAACTATCGGCCTCTTGAAGCGTGATTCCTGCCGCTCGGTCACTTCGCTTCGGCCTTTGAAGGTGGAAGTTGTGTCGCTTACGATCAGAATACACATTACGCAACAGGACGACGTAAAATTAAAATGGGAAATAACCGTAATAAAAATAAGAAGCGACTGGCTTGGCGTTAAGAAACAGACATAAATATGATAAACCTAATGAAATAAGTATCTAACGACCTTTCTACTTACAGTATTAGTGATTACAAACATGTCGGTACATAGCATACGACGCGCGGGGAAGTGGGGGCGAAATTAGAATTTGACCTGACTTACTATATCCCCTTAATATTTATCAAAATTGATGCAGATTTTATTGAAATTATTTTACAGCACAGGTGATAAATCTGTGCCTGGTAGATGTCAACATCAACATTATTACATCCTGTCAACTTTGGCAACGGAACATTAGCCTACCCCATATATTGCCCCATAAAAATAATTGCCAAAGTTGTCAAACATGGCAGTCGAATTGACAACTGCATTTTTTTAATTTTTTGCGTTGTTACCAGAAAATGCTTCTGCCCATTTCCCGTTTTAATTTTCCTTTGTTACTTACGCGCGATACAGGATAACGGACTCTCGTCGACGCCACCACTACAAGGCATGTTTTATCTATTTTATTGTTAATTTCATAATTTAAAAAAAATCTCGATCATGCAGCTTTCTTTGATATTTTATTTATTATATAGTTTATTTATTAGTAAAATGTAATATATCACGTAGTTAATTATCTTTTTTATTTTATTTTTATTTTTAAATTCTATTTTGCTATATCTATGTCGAATTCTCACCACTCAATGACTTGACTGGTATAGAATGCATCAAGTCATTAAATCCGCCCTTAGGATACACCTTTTGTTTTAAGGAATTCAATAAAGGATAAATAGAAAAATAAATAAATTTTCCTCCACTTAGCAAGTGGTAAATATGTGCACAGTGGTATGTATATAGACTCTTATTACAACTTTTATATAAGCACATATAGCTCAAAGAACCGACAGTCGATGGGGAAGAAAGGTTCTCGAATGGTAGCTTCGTACCGGCAGGCGAAGTGTAGGGCGACCCCCACTAGATGGAGTGACGACCTGGTATGATATACAGAGAGTCGATACATGCAGGTGGCTCAGGACCGTGCTTTGTGGTATTGGGGAGGCGTATGTTCAGCCAGTGAACTTGTTAAGACCTGTAATAATGATAATGATGATACAAAAAGTTTGCTAAACTCCAAAATAGAAACTTACCTGTTCCTGATGACAGAGCAGATCATACAATATGACGCTGCCCAGGGAATGTCCCCCCAGGGGAGACGCCCCCCTTCGAAAGAGGGATTCCGTGATCTGAAGAGGTTGTAAATACGGTTCAGTTCGTTGCACACCGTATCTATTATAGTCTGTGGAAAAAAGAAACAAAAATATTAAAGTTTAGTTTGAAAAGCACCTCCCACCCTCCCGAAACCGGGATGGAGGCATAACGCAGGGTGGGAGGTGCTATTCAAACTAGGTAAGATACATTATTTTATTTTATATTACGTGGACATTAGCTTCCTAGTTTAAAGAGTACCTCGCGCCCTCCCTCAAGAGGACGGGAGGCCTTAGGGAGGGCGTGAGGTGCTCTTCACACTAGGTAAGACACATTATTTTATTATGGATCTTATCTAATTAATTTCTAACATTTATATTATAATAGATTTCCGCAAAATAACGCCCTAATTATTAATATTGATTCTCATATTTTATTACTGATGACAAGCGAGTTGGCAATCAAAGTATTAACATCTTTGGGACTGCTGCCCCTTGCCGGCCTGGGTTCCGCCAGAAGACTTCTGACATGAGATGGTTACATCATTTTACTTTGTATCATCACCACATGAAGCCTTGCCTTCTTTTTCTTTCCATTTATCAGACGCGTGTTTAACACCGGACTGTTTGCATAGAATTAGGGGTGATAATCATCATCATTACAGCCCTTCACAAGTCCACTGCAGAACATAGGCCTACCCCAGGATATGCCACAAAGCACGGTCCTGAGCCACCTGCATCCATCGACTTCCTGCATGTCTTACCAGGTCCTCACTCCATCTAGTGGGGGGCCGCCGTACAATTCGCCTATCGGTACGAGGCTGCCACTCGAGAACCTTTTTTCCACAACGGTTGTCGGTTCTTCGAGCTATATGGCAGGCCCATTGCCACTTCAGCTTACTAATCCGTTGGGGTATGTCAGTTACTCTGGTTCTACTGCGGATATCCTCATTTCTAAGTTTATCACGCAGAGAAACTCCGAGCATAGCCCTCTCCATAGCTCGCTGAGCGACTTTGAGCGTCCTCATACGGCCAACAGTGAAGGACCGCGTCTCGGTTCCGTAGGTCATCACTGGCAACACGCACTGGTTGTACAGCTTAGTTTTCAGGTTTTGAGGTATACCTGACGAGAAGATGCGTCGTAATTTCCCGAACGCTGCGCAGCCGAGTTAAATCCGTCGATTGACCTCTCGGTCGAAGTTGGACTTACGTAGTCGGACTATTTATCCCAGGTAAACGTACTTGTCAACAACTTCGAGCTTAGTGTTCCCAACAAGAGATGATAAGCTAACGCATAATCCATTTTATAGTAATAGAATAAAATAATCTATAGATTAAATGTAATTCTTATTGAAAGTCATTTTTTACTTTGACTTTGTTTTTGAAAAAAATTCTCTGTCTTGGGAAGAACCAACAAAAACCTAGGGGGACTTTTTTAAAGTACATAAAAGTTAACGTTACAGCCTATATACGTCCCACTGCTGGGCACAGACCTCCTCTCATTTCTGAGAGGGTTTTAGGGCAAGGAATAGTCCGCCACGCTGCCCTAATGCCTGTTGGCGAACTTCACATGTCTTCGAAATAAAGTTTTTTCTTATTTCTCAGACATGCAGGTTTCCTCACGATGTTTTCACCGCCGACGATCTAACAATTTCAAGATCGACACGATCTAACAATTTCACGATCGACACGATCTAACAATTTCATTGGTGCCGGCGGGGATCGAACCCGGTTTGCTCGTGTACTGTGAAATTTACAGCGAGCGCTAACCATCTTAACTACCACGGCTCTTAAAGTAAATTCATTATACAATAAATATATATTTCGTAAATAGTTTGTACAGTCTTTAAGTGTGTACATTTCAATTCATATATATTCATTGAGCTATTATGTACTACGTACTAGAGGCGACACTGCATTCAGCTACTCTGTTCCACTCAACTGCAGTGCATACACCGCACTTTAACCAGTCACTCGATAGGTGCTTGTAGAGTTGACACGTGTTGTGTTGATTTAAAAAAAAATCTCGTGATAAAAATATGTCGTCGTGCGTACTTAGATATTGCACAAATAATTCAAGAAATGTCAGTAAAAACCAAGAAATTACTTTTCATTGGTTAATAAAATACTTAATCAATAAAAAAGTACTATAAATTATTGAATAAAACTATTATTTACGGATTTTATCGCGTTTAATTACTTTAATTTATTTTTATTATTATCCCGACGTTTCGGGTGCTTTACAGCGCCCATGGTCACGGGGGGGACAGTCCCCCGTGACCATGGGCGCTGTAAAGCACCCGAAACGTCGGGATAATAATAAAAATAAATTAAAGTAATTAAACGCGATAAAATCCGTAAATAATAGTTTTATTCAATGTGTAGTGTTCGCGTAAATTTAAGAAATCATTATACTATAAATTAGTAATAAAACAAATTATTCCTAAGTATACCGAAGCCATCTCGTGTCGCGTAATATAGATTATGAAATTAATTTGTTCAGATGCGACATTTCTGTGGGTACTTAAGTATAGGACGAATATATTATTATACACATTTTTTTGTAGAAACGTATGAGTTATCATAATTAGGCCAAATTTTTTAAATTTAAATCTGCTAATTATTCTTATATTTTATTTTTAGGTTTCATCAATTTCTATCAATTTTTAACTCTCGCGTGCCCAGATTTATGAATGACTATTATTCCAATTTAAATAAATATATTTGTAATTTAAATGTTATATTAACAAGTTTTGTTAAATATACATTTAGTATGTTTTTTTATATTTGAGATAGATACCTTTTAAAATATTCAGATAAAAATATAATTAAAATGTAGTTGTGACATAATATCATGTAATATTATATTAAATAAGCAAATATAATATACAAAATAAATGAGGGGGGATAAGTCGCTCGCGTCCGTAGGCTCTGACCACCTATTCCTAGGCCCACCCTACACGTGTCCCCCGGGTGGTGCTAAATGAGCGACAAGCCGATAGCACAGACTCGGCTCCACGCCCTGGTAGAGGCGTAAAATATACCACCCTTTATCCGCACCATGAGGAACAATATAATAGAAATGGCCCCGAGTTCCCGGCGCCCCTTTAATGGGGCAGGGGTGCGAAGAATCTCCGGGAGGAAAACCGGCGACGAGGTTCGCCACCCGTCACGTTCTGTCTCCCGGAGAGGCGAAAAGTGGATTGCAGAGGTCCGTCTGGCTACGTTGAATGTATGTGGGGCAATGAATGATAAAATGGATGAAGTATGCGATATGATGAATGATAGAGGAATAGATGTGTTATGTGTAAATGAGACGAAAAGGAAGGGAAAGGATGTCACTACACATGGCATGTATACCGCATACTGGTCTGGTGTAGACGAGATCGAGCGGGCATGCCAGGGAGTAGGTATCATCCTTTCAGAAAGAATGGGCCAATGTGTGAAAGAGTATGAATGTGTAAGCCCAAGACTGCTGTGGATACGAATGAAAGTGGGCTTAAAGAAGTTGTTTGTGTTAGGGGTCTACGCCCCAGACATGTCTAAGCCCACTTATATCCGAGAGCAGTTTTGGGAAATGGTAAGGATGGTGTTAATGGAGTGTAAGGGAAATGAAAATATTATTATGCTAGGAGATTTTAATGGAAGGGTTGGGGTGAGGAGGCTTGGTTATGAAAGGATATTGGGAACGTTTGGTGATGAAAGTATAAATGAGAATGGTGAAAGTCTCCTCACCGTATGTATGGAAAAGAATCTTTTTTGTGACGAACACTTGCTTTCGCCACAAGAGGATTCACATGTATACTTGGGAAAGAGGTGACGATAGAAGCATGATAGATTTAATAATTGTGGATGAAAGATTGAGGGGCGCAGTTGTAGATACAAGGGTTTACCGGGGTTCTAACGTAGGAACGGATCATTATTTGGTTCTATGCCGAATTAATGGTCTATTCAGGCGTTGGCGCCATCGGTCATCTGTGTCTACCACTGCGTTACAGCGTATTAGAACAGAAAGGTTACAAGATGAAGGTGAGAAAAAGAAGTTCAAATGTAGACTGAAAGAAAATATAAGTGGTTTGGATGAATTATGTATGAAGGAGTTAGACTTGGAGAATGTATGGCAAAATGTAAAGAAAGGTTTAGTGGATGCAGCTACCGAAGTATGTGGTGTTAGTAAGAGAAAGAATGAAAGGAAAAATAATACGTTATGGTGGGATGATGAGGTACGTATGGAAGTTGAAGCAAAGAAGAGAGCATGGCTAGATTTACTAGCAACAAAGGCTGGTAATTCTAGCGGTACGAATGATGATATTGAAATAAAAAAGGCAGTCTTTAGACATCTTAATAAGAGAGTAAAAGAAGTAGTTGAAAGAAAAAAGCACGAAAGAACGGATAAGAATGATAGAAGAATATCGGATAATTTCCAGGCAAATATTAAAATGTTCTGGAAACTTGTAAGAACTGCCAGGGGACATTCAAAACAGCCTATGATGAATGCTATAAGAGACGAGAATGGCTATATTCTGAATGATGAAGTTTTGAGTTTAAAGAGATGGAAGGAATATTTTGAAAGCGTGTTTATGAGTGAGGAGACAACGTGTGTACTAAGTGAAGTAGAAATTCCGAAGGAAGAGGAAAGAGGTAGCGAGATTAGTGTAGGTGAAATAATGAAAGCAATGAAAAGCATGAAAGCAGGTAAGGCTGCCGGATATGATAGAGTTTCACTCGAAATGCTAAGGGCTGGAGAGGAAGTGGTGGCAGGCCTGCTGCACACCTTGTTTAATTTATGCTGGGAACTGAAGCGGGTACCGGTAGACTGGTGCAAAGCCGTGATAGTCCCAGTATATAAGGGAAAAGGGTCGCAGCAGGACTGTAAAAACTACCGTGGCATCAGCCTTCTTAGCATTGTGGGAAAACTGTATGCTAAGGTACTGATTGAAAGGGTCATGAAAGAAACTGATGGAAAAATTTGGGATGTGCAAGCAGGATTTAGAAAGGGAATGGGATGTACAGATCAAGTCTTTTCCATGCGCATGATCGCGGAGAAGTTTTTGGCCAAAAACCAAAAGGTTTTTTGTGCGTTCATGGACTTGGAAAAGGCCTATGACAGAGTGAATAGGGATGTGCTATGGCAAACACTGAACTCATTTGGGTTGAGCGCTGGCTTGATACGGGCATTGGAGTCCCTTTATAGGGACTCTAGTGCTTGTGTTAGGATCAACGGGGTCTACTCGGACTGGTTTGACATCCATAAAGGTGTCAGACAGGGCTGTGTAGCTTCCCCGTGGCTGTTCAACCTATTTATGGACAGTTGTTTGCAAAATTTGAAAGTTGAAGAATGCGGATTAAGAATGGGTGAGTTAACCGTCAAATGCCTTTTGTACGCCGATGATCAAGTTATACTTGCGTCGTCGGCGGCCGAGTTGCAAATGATGGTTACATTAATGAACAGATCATTAAAAGAAAGGGGTATGAAAGTGAACGCAAGTAAGACGAAGGTTATGGTTTTTGAAAGAGAAGAAAGTAAAACGATTTGTGAAATAAGAATAGAAGGGGAGTTGATCGAGCAAGTAGACGAGTTTGTATATTTGGGCTGCGTATTTAGCAGGGATGGGAGATATGATAAGGATATAGAACGACGAGTGAATGCGGGAAATAGAGTAAATGGGGCCCTGCACTCTATTGTGAAGAGTCAAAATGTGTCGAAAAAGGCACGTATGGCAATTCACAATGCTGTGTTGGTCCCTACTTTAACATATGGTAGTGAAAGTTGGGTGTGGCAGAAGAAGCACGAGAGTAGAATGAACGCAGTAGAAATGCGGTCGTTAAGGAGTATGTTAGGGCTGAATCTTAATGACAGGGTAAGAAATTGTGTAATAAGAGAAGAGTGTGGTTTGCAAGATGATGTTGTGACCAGGATTAAGAAAGGAATGCTTCGGTGGTTTGGTCATGTGGAAAGAATGAATGAGGAAAGAGTGACAAAGAAAATTTATGTTGCAGAAGTGAATGGCAGAGTCGGAAAGGGACGTCCTAGGCGAAAATTTATCGACCAAATTGGCGATTTATTGAAAACGGGCCAAATTAGGAGTACCCTTAACCGACGAGCATGTATGCGGAGGTGTATGGATGTGAAGGAGGCGAGAGAGGTGTGTCAGGATCGTGCCAAATGGAAGTCTGTAGTCTCTGCCTACCCCTCTGGGTGACAGGCGTGAGTGTTTATGTTATGTGTTAAAATAAATGACAAAATTAAAAAAAATTGTTCTCGATATAATTTACCTATTTAACAATACAATCTATTATTACCTACTGATCATTCTACCTATGTTTATTCTATGATAAAAAATCAACCGCGCGAACACAGAGTAGCGCACATTTTTTGTTTGAAATAGCTCTTCTAGTACGTAAGTACATATTACTTCAATGTATATATTACGTTTTTGTCGATGTTGTGGCCCCTATCGGCAACTACTTTTATCCTTGATTAAGATTTTTTTATAGAATAAGGGTGACAAATGAGCACTCAGTTCACTCAGTTGTTTGTTTCTCACCTGGCAGAATACCGGGCTCGTGTAGAACAGGACGTCGAGAACGGTGTCGTTGGTGAAGTTCCTCAAGCGTGGTATACTGTCGAGGGTGATTTGGGCAAGTCTTTTGTCTACACCTCTTTCACCGGAGTGCAGGGTTGAATGCCAGGATATCGGCAGCACCTGGGATAAATTCATTTTGTGTATATAACTAGAGACTCGTTATTGAGTTTTTCCGTCAATAAATTCTCAGTAGCTGCCCGGAGTCAGGAAGTTGGTGGTGTCTCACCCCCGTGCCTCCTAAAGCACGTAAAGCCGTTGGTCCTGCGCCGGATCTCTCTCCCGGTCGTGTCGGTTTACCGTCCCAACGGGTTATGCGAGTGAGGGAATAGAGAGTGCACCTGTGCTTGCGCATACACTCGTGCACTATAATCTTGTCCTGCGCCGACGGCTAGCCTCCGTTGACGCAGGCCGCCGTGGCCGAAATGCGGTCTGGAGGACATTATTATTATTATATACCACAGTTGCCACGCTTGGCAAGGGCGGTGGCAACCGCAGTTTTTTTTTTAGTCATAATTAACTGCTGCTGTCCGTCTCCAGATTTGATTCCCACTGTCGCCTCTTACGACTCCCGGACGGATACGGGGTAGTGGATATTCCTTCACCGCCACTATACGGTAACTAAAAAAGGATTTATTAATATACGAGGGGTGATCCAAAAGTAATGATAATCGGTTACTTCAGGACCGCATAAAAATCCAAAAAAAAAAATTTTTTTGCTTAATTATATAGTCACTACGTCAGCCTAAAAAAATCATATAAATAGATCACGATTTCTGGGAGATACATCTCCAACCATTTTATTCGTGAGGCAGCTACTTATGCAGCCCCGCTCTCGCTATCGAGTTCGCAGGCCGAGAAACTCTCACTCGGACCCGCCTAATAAACTATCAAACGAACTGAACTGCCTCCTGGCGGCTCAGGCCAACTCTAATTAAATTAAATTATTCATAATTAATTTGCCTTCGTAGGCACTCCCTCAGCGGCTCGTAGCCGCCTGCGCCCTCTTTTCCCAAAAGAGGATCGCTCCCGATACGGCATAAGAAAGCTTAAACAGCCAGTTGCCAGTCCCCAAAGGCGGTTTTTAGAGGGTAACACTTAGATTCCCCCCGGTAGACAGTGAGTCCCTTATAACCACGATGGACCGGTTATCGTGGCATGCGTAACGCATTTTCCACCTCCCTACATATAGGGTAGCCCTTTAATTGCTTCGGGCGCAAAAAAAAGGGAGATACATTCATTTGAATACGAACTGTCAAAGAGATAACATCAACATGGAGAAAAACGAAATTAGAGTTGTCATCAAGTACCTCTGTTTGAAAAAAATGTCTTCAAAAGACATACACAGTGACTTAGTGGAAACATTGGGGGACTCTGCTCCTCCATATTCTACAGTTTCACGCTGGGCCAAGGAGTTAAAACTGGGCAGAACATCCACTGAAGATGAACATTGCATCGAGTTGACATTTCGAGGGTCAATGTCGAAAAGTTCCAAGCAGATCAAGAAAATTTTTTGTTACATTTTGTGACTATGGACGAGACCTGGATCCACCATTTTGATCCTGAAACGAAACAACAATCGACGACTTGGAAGCGAGCCTCCTCACCGACGCCAAAGAAATTCAAAGTTTCAAGTTCGGCGGGAAAGGTTATGACATCTGTTTTTTGGGACGCTCAAGGCATAATTATGGTGGAATATTTGGAAAAGGGAGGCACTATTACGGGCTCTTACTACGCAGACCAAATAAGAAGATTACGGGAGGCCATTAAGGAAAAAAGACGCGGCAAAATTCAAGAAACGGGATTCGAACTGCTCGAACACCCTCCCTATTCGCCAGATCTAGCTCCTAGTGACTTCTACCTCTTTCTTCGGCTCAAGGAACGCCTCCGAGGCAAGAAATTCGAAGACGATAGCGAAGTAATGGCCGCTGTTGAAGCGTTTTGGGAGGGTCAAGACAAAGAATTTTTTTTCAAATGGAATCTTGGGTTTAGAAAAAAAGAAGGACTAAATTTGTTAGGAGACTACGTAGAAAAATAAATTATTATTTCAACTTTAATTACCGTGTTTTATTTTCATTACTATTACTTTTGGATTACCCCTCGTAGCTTTATTTAGATTTAAGATAATTATATAAAATTACATATATATAAAATAACTTATTTTATTAATCATACAATTTATAAAAAAAAGTCCAATGTTTTCGGATAAATTTAACCTAGACGACTCCTGGAATTGCTATATCTGATCATTAAGTTTCATTACAGTCATTTCGAAGATCAGCCAGAACTGACACACTGAGAGACACGGACAGAGTTTTTAAAAATGGTCATTTATATCTTATTGGCATGCTAAAAACTTTCTCACCTCAATGAACGGCAGTTATATCAATATTACCGACAGAAACATCGGCTTTAATTATATGTATAGATGTCCGCTTTATTTTTAATTTTATTTCTGTTTTTTATATCATTAAAGCCCTTCAAAAGTCCACTGCTGAACATAGGTCTCCCCCAAGTAACGCCACAAAGCACGGTCCTGAGCCACCTGCATCCATCGACTTCCTGCATGTCTTACCAGGTCGTCACTCCATCTAGTGGGGGTCGCCCTACACTTCGCCTACCGGTACGAGGCTGCCACTCGAGAACCTTTTTTCCCCAACGGTTGTCGGTTCTTCGAGCTATATGGCCGGCCCATTGCCACTTCAGCTTACTAATCCGTTAGGCTATGTCGGTCACTCCGGTTCTACTGCAGATATCCTCATTTCTAAGTTTATCACGCAGAGAATAGTCCGAGCATAGCCCTCTCCATAGCTCGCTGAACGACTTCGAGCGTCCTCATACGGCCAGCAGTGAAGGACCACGTCTCGGTTCTGTAGGTCATCGCTGGCAACACGCACTGGTTGTACTGTTGTACTGTTATATTTCACTACGCCCGGGGTTAACTCAGAGATAATGCCAAAAGGTATTAAGTTCAGAACGTGTAACACTTTTATTTAAGTTGATAGCAATTAATAGCGAGCACACAGTTCACCTGATGATAAGTGGATGCTGTGGTCCATAGACATCTACATCTATACTCGATTACGAATCAAAATGCAGATGCGTTTTCACCCGTGAGGACTAAGATGGAATGCCTCGTTTCCAGTAAAAAGGGTCTCCGCTTTTCTACACTCACCATACGAAACACAGCAGCGTTAGGCCGCTATTTTACCCTGGTATTCTGTGAGAGCGTGGTCCTTCCCCAGTCGAACAAATCCATTCGTGTTGTAAAAATATTTTATTTTTATTTTAAAATAAATGTTTGTGAGCGTCGGTCGTCTTTAAATAGTCAATGAGTAGCTGGTTTTGAAAATGTTGGTGCTGTTAGCCAGACTTTTACAGTTTAACCGGTATCAGGCTAAAAACAGTCAATGAGCATAAATTATATAAAACAAGATCCACTCACTTCTACTTTCCCGACGACTCCATTTTCGTAAGAGTTTTTATAATGAGACTGCAGCAGTTGGAGACTTGTTGCACGGAAATCGTCGACTGTGAAAATTTTTTTACTTTAAAACTTGAGTAATTAGTTTGACATTTCATACACTTCATTCGTTCCATTAACCCCCAACCGAACCCCGGTCCCGAAAAAACATTTAGTAAACAAGACACGGGGGGATAAGGCATTACATTCATTTCAATCGTTTTGCCTTAATTAAGTATGATTCATGAAAGGATGTGTAATAATATATACCACCCTATATCGTCTTGTGGATGGCGAAACTGTTAACAGAGGGAAAAAACCAGGAGATAGTCAGCAGCGTTTTCGCAATAACAACAAAAAAAAGCGGTCCAGACGCGACCCGAAAGGTCCACACAACTAACTTCCCAGAGAAAAGAATAAAAAAATATCATATGTTTTAATACTAATACAATTTTTCATTCGGCACAAAAAACGACTTGACCGATTTTGCTCAAAATTTAATGAGGTCTAAGTTACATAATTATGCGTTAAATGAAACTGGTCCCATGTCAATATCACTCTTTGTGAGATTGACATGGGACCAGTTGAGGCTGGATTGATTTCAACAATTAAGGATATTTATTTATTTATTTATTTATTAGGATTACCAACAGAAATTACAATAGTAATACAAAGATCATTTTCATAACATATTAAGCACATTATAATTGTATTTCTTTTTATAGGTAATCACAACATGCATTGATTATTTAGTGAATGATAGGATTAAAAAAAAACTTGGACTACATCATTGGATAAATAAGTTATTAAAAAGAAATAGAATTATTTAACAATATTATAGATAACTTCATTATCATATTAAATTACATTAACCACATTATAGAAAACAAAAACAATTCCAATATTATACTTCCAATATTATACTTCTTAATTAATTGATTCATTATTTTTAAAGAAATTTATTAATTTTGATTTGAAGGTGGATAAACTGTCGCAAGTAATATCGAGGCCACAAATCTTTGAGGACAGTTCGTTATAAGTGCGAGCCAGTCTGGCTAGAGGGGAATACTTTCCCAGGTTAGATCTATAAAGAGACACATCGAAAAAGGCTTGCGGTTTCCTAGGCAGTATCGTTTTATTCGTCTTAAAAACCCAAATGTTCTTAGATAGTTTTATTTTAATAAACTAAATGGCGGATTTTTGGCACAACATTATAATACGTTAATAAAAAAAATAACCAAACCTATCAAATATCGAATAAACGTTGTATGGTTAAATTTAATTAGGAATAATAAATTGGTTTATAAAGTTTTTGATAACTGATTTATAAAATGAGCAATGTTTGTATCGGACCTCGTGCTATTATATGCAAAGAGAATAGTTATTAATATCCGTCGTCCAATCACATTTAAAACGAAACAAATAAATTGTTTTCAATAAATTTTGAACTGTATAGTTTGAAGTATGGAAGAAAAATGTAATAAATAAACATCGTTTATTTCAGAAAATATACATAGACCTTTCTAAGTCGCATAGTTACTGAAAAATCGTCAAAAAAACTTAGACACTAAAACAATAGACACTAAAAAGTGTTAAATAAAATAAATAATTAAAAAATCAAAAACCCGACTGCAAAAAAAATTAAAAGTAATTCACTAAAAAGACCGAAACAAGGCTGAGTAAAGAATACAAAAAATAAAAACTATAAACAAAGTAAACTCCACTTCGGTTTAACAGACTATATCATGAGCTGATAGCCGAAGTAAATAGCCTAAGTGAAATATTTAGTTTAGTAGCAGGCGGGACCCAATTACAAATTATAAACGGAAAGAAAATTTATGGGTTAATGGGTAACGTTAAATACAAACCGTATTCAGATTTATGTACGACTGAAGTATGTGGTGATGAAATCAATCACCGTCACCGTTTTTCAACACCGTTCACTTACCTACTTCTTCCACGGGCCGAAACTTCATGTCGCAAGCGGACCCCACCCCGTGACAAAGGAGCAGCAGGTGATCCACTTTAGACGGTTCGCTTTCTTCCATCTCGCTCTCCACACACCCTCTTCTAACTACCCTCGGTCTCATAGTCGATTGCTATAAAAAAAACCAAAAACGTTCTGACAAGGATTCGAACCGGTACCAATTTCAACTAACATACGATGTAATGATTTCTTTGAGCGAAGCTTTAACTTCTGTATCGGATTTTCTTACAATAATATCAATATAATAATTTTCTAAAAATAAATACTCCTACCCTATCACTATTGATATTATTGTCCCCTAGGAAAAAAACCTCATACCATTAAATACGTTGTCGACACGTAAAGTCCTCAACTTTCTAGTGCACTTATTGCTCCATTATCCATGCTTTCATCATCGGACATCCAGACGCTCGGGTGGTCTCCACCTCTCTTCTTGTCTCACCTTGTCTCCAGAATTTTGGTCACGGCGGCCAGTCTCGTCGGTGCAAAACAGGATTATAGTGTAGAAGTGTATAAGCAGGCACAGGTGCACTATTTCCTCACTCTCATAATCCGATGTGACGGTAAACTGACATGACCAGAGAGAGATCAGGCGAAGGCCCAACAGCTTTAAGTAGTTTCCGAGGCACGGAATGAAATCTTCCCACTTCAGAATTTCTTGGCTGGAATACCCAACAACTGATTTTGACCAGACCCTTGAATCCTGGATTCGAACTCGAGATCTCATGATCAACGGTCGCATTTACTGCAGTTATAGTGATAAGATTTTAGTCAAAGTCAAACAGTCCAATGTCATACGCTTACCAATAACAATTTAAGATGGACTGTGTGCTCGTATGTCACCCTTAAGTCTTTAAAATCATATCTTGAGGTCGTAAAAGACAATATAGAGAAACTTTACGCGTCTTTAATATAATGAAAATCGTTTACTAATTCCTGAATCTATCAATTACTTTAATGATAAAACTCCTACATTTGAATCTAGGTGGCTGTCATGAAATCCTTAACAAACTTTTTTATACGTGGTAGAGCTATGCTGCAGCTATATTAGTAGTATAGTTGTAGCACGAATGGGTCGGCTCGACCGGGGAAGGACCACGCTCTCACAGAATACCAGCGTGAAATAGTAGCTTAATGCTGCTGTGTTTCATATGGTGAGTGTAGAGAACCGGAGACCCTTTTTACTGAAAACGAGGCATTCCATCTTAGTCCTCACGGGTGACAACGCATCTGCATTTCAATTCGTAATCGAGGATAGATGTAGATGTCTATGGGCCACAGTAACCACTTACCATCCGGTGGATTGAGTGCTCGTTTGTCACTCTTATACTACAAAAATAAACAAAAATAGCTTGTAGTGCTATTGACTGTCCTGAGCTTTTATCTCAACTACATGTTAGCTGTCCTGCCAAACCTCTTAGACACAACAAAATTTTAAGTCTCCCGTTTGCATCTACAAATTATAGGCAAAATACATTTATATGGCGAGCGAGTAATAATTTCAATAAGCTAGCCAATGAGTTTGACTTCGATTTGTTTAACACTAGTGCTGCGTCAGCTAGGCGCATACTTAATAATGCATTTTTGGTAGCTCTAAGTAATATTTACTTTTGTATTTGTGTTTATTTTTCTGTTAAAAATAGCTTGTAGTGTTATTGAGTGTCCTAAGTATGAGTTGATTGTCTTTTATTATGTATAATACAAATTTAGCCCTCATTTGGCATAAGTATGTTGTATTGGATACTTTCGAGTGTTAAATCGTGTTTATCACTGTTGTAAATTCACCTTTGTATCTATTAGTGAGGATCTATAATTGGCTTACTGTTGTTATTAGTACTATCTATCCTAATTATGATAGCCGTTGGTCTTCGAAATAAAATAAAATAAATATAAAATAAAACTATAAAAGTCCACTGCTAAAGATAGGTCTCCCCCATAGATGGCCTCATTGAGGGCGTTTTGCCATAGTGACCACGAGTTGGTAACCGCAGTTCTTTAATCTTTTGACTTGTCATCAGGAAGATGCTGCTGCGCATCCTCACCCACCCACGGGGCACTGCGGAGTAGTAGATATTCTCACACCGCCACTACACGGTTAAAAATTAAATCCAAAAAAAAAAGTCGCTAACATTGTTCGTTTCGAAGCGGTTGTACATCGAGTGGCCATGAACGTAGAGCAGGATGTGATCTTTAGTTTCTTTCTGGTCACCAGCCAGTTCTATCTTCGGATAACGGTACACACGTTGGTTTTCCGCTACTTTCTGGAGGGAGGGGAGAAAGGATGACGGGAATTAGTAGGAGGGGTTATAATGCAAAGATAATGAGTGGGTACTTAAAGTTCTTTAGCAACCATACAGTTAAGATGTAAACAATAAGGATTGGAAAACATGAGTCATGCAGTTACTTAGTTATCCCGGACCTGGATCTCAAGCCATGCCCATGTTTTCAAATCCTAAGGCTAGGTTGGACTAAACATCATGTTTTATTTTAATTGTTTGCCTAGGCCACACATAACACGATAGAATTCCGGCGATAACACTTTGCCTTCGGCCTACATCGAAGGTGCCTGGCCACACTGCGCATCATAAAGTTTATCTTGATAAGCACACGCTAAACACAAAATGGACGACGCGTTCGATCTATATTATATGCCATTGAATAATTATTTCTTACTACGTTTTTGGCAATAGGGGACAGCTTTATACGCCTGCATTATTTATTCAAAAATCTCATCAAATTATTTGCCTTGTCATTATTTGAAAAAAAAAAAAAAATTCACTGTCGAAAACACGTCGTAAATCCTAATTAAATCTACACGTCCGCTACCGATAAATAATAATTTGTGAAGTTGCTTCTGAAGTCGCTAAGACATAAAGTATCAAAGAATTAAAAACTTCTACGTCTCGCCTTTAGAAGCTATAATGAGGAAATTATTTTAATATTTCACTGGTAACAAGGTACTCTATCTCAGTTATCAGGGGTGACAACGCACTTATATTTCTATATAAATGTAGATGTCTATGGGCCACATCCAATTACCATCAGGCGACCGCCTACTATGTGCTCGTTTGCCATAGTTGTAACGTTTGATAAAAAGTCGGACTCTCGCATGCAGGGTTCCGTTCCATCGTAAAAACATGTTTCTAGAAGGGTAGACTCGTTTAACTTTTAATTGGATCGGACGGACAGACTGACAGATGGACGAAGGGACGGACGGACGGCGGAGGCTAGTAATAGGGTCCCGTTGGTTACCCTTTGGGTACGGAACCCTAAAAAATTATAGGCATCTTCAACTGACAGTCAATATGGTAACATAAACTGACAGTCAAAATAACGTTGGTAATACTTACAGACGATGAGCTAAACGCATCAGAGGCACCACTTTGCAGGAAGTGCACCATCACAGCGGGGCCGTGCATCACAACCAGCTCGCCATTCGGGAGGGTCAACCTTCGATGCCATTCCCCTGTTGTTATCCCATGCTTGTACTCCTCCTGTATTTAACAAAAAGCACGATCAGTCATTTGAGAGCCGGAAACTGAAGTTTCACAAGTGGTAAAGCCGTGCTGCAGCTTTATCTTTACTATGGTTGTAACACCAATGGGACCACGCTCTTACAGAATACCAGAGTAAAATAGCAGCTTAATGGTGATGTGTTTCGTATGTTAAAATTAGAGAACCGGAGAACCTTTTTACTGGAAACGATGCTTTCTGTCTTAGTCCTCGGGGGTGACAACACTTTGGATTTTGATTTTTAATCGAGGGTGGATGTAGGCGTCGACAGCCGACAGTATCCACTTACCATCAGGTGGACTATGTGCTTGTTTGTAACCCGTATTCTATAAAAAAAATACAAATAATGGTTCGGTGCAGGAATCGACCCCGCAGTCCCGAAGCGTTGAACAAAACACTTAGGCCCTGCGTTACTGAGCCGCAAAAGAACATAATATCATAGAGCTCACCTCCAACTTTTCAGCCACTGACTCAGAGTACGGTACATATCTGGCATCAGTGGTGCCTTTGTAGAACCAGCTGCACCTGTTGAACGTAAAGAGAAGTAAAGTCTCAATGCTGGGTAAAGGCGTCCTCTCATTTCTGAGAGAGTTAAAGAACAGTTAGTTATTCGGTTAAGATATATAATGGTGTTACGAGCTTGGGGTTCGTGACAATAAAAACGGTCACGGTCCTAACCGACTTTATATAGGGCCTCTTCTACTGAAACATCTAGAATGTTCGAGTACATACCGGTCCCGACCGACTAGGTGTACAAAGTTCCATACGGAATTTTCTAGAAAGTAGTTATGGTACTCGATACTAGATGCCGCTAGTGGTAACTAATGTCTCATATACCAGGAATTAATTATGGCGCGTGATAAGAGAATCACGCGTTTGTTTTATTTTAAAGTTGTTAAAAATTTAATTGTATAAGCACTTGGCAGTCAGCTACGGCAGAGTCTATTTCACCTGAGAGTGCCTCGTGTAGAGGCAAAACACGTGTCGTATTATCGACGATGGTGTATCTTTCCTAGTGTAGTGGTGTTGGGAGTACTGGTGCTGGGATTAGTGGTGACGGGATTAGTGTACGCAACTGAGGATGGAATCAGCTCTTCAAACTAGGTAAGACACTCATTTTATTTTATCTTAGTTAATTAATTTTTCACATCATATAATAGTTTTATAACGTGGTAGAGCCATGCTGCAGTTATATTAGTAGTATAGACCGGGGAAGGACCACGTTCTCACAGAACACCAGCGTGAAATAATAGCTTAATGCTGCTGTGTTTCGTATGGTGAGTGTAGAGAACCGGAGACCCTTTTTACTGGAAACGAGGCATTCCATCTTAGTCCTCACGGGTGACAAACATCTGCATTTTGATTTGTAATCGAGGATAGATGAAGATGTCTATGGGCCGCAGCAACCACTTACCATCAGGTGGGCTGTGTGCTTGTTTGTCACCTTATCCTATATTTAAAAAAAAAACATCGTTAATGTTTTTACGAGTTAAGTTGATAATTGAGCGGGAAATACAAGTGTGCGCGTTATTGCAAAGGCATTCCCTTTTTCTGATCTCAACCAAAGGGGTTGGATTAAAAATCTTTTATGTGGTAAAGCCTCCACTGCCAGGCAGAAGTATCTTTTTATTTCTAAGAGCCATACCCCCTTTTTCAGTAACCGGTTCGCCAAGCTACTTGAATACTACTAGACTTCACATTAGATGAACTAGATGTGTCAATCGTGAATGATTCATTCATTGACCCGGGGCGCAACAAAATTGATGATTGTAATTACATTTTTTAAACGTTCAGGATCAAACGATTGACAGGACTTACGACCAGAGTATAGTTGGTCATCGGACTCGATAATGTCCAGTGACCGACATTATCGAGCGGGTCTAATAGATCAAAGAGTACTAAAACATTGAAATGACCCATTTGAATGATCGACCCGAATGATCCGATTCGTAAGACGAATCAATACTTGAATGATCGGGTCACAAGAAATGAATGAATGACACATGTCTGCTCACATGACCTAAATATTTCATTTTCCAGGTTTCCTCACTATGTATTCTTCACCGACGAGCACATGGTAAAGCAGCACTCAAATCGCAATTAATAGTTTAATAGGTGTCAGCGGGGAAAGAACCCGAGTTGCTCCCTAACTGTAAATTTACTACGAGCCCTATAGACATTCTGTTATGTTGAATTATTAAATATAATAATTATTGTGTAGAATAGTATATTAAGGTACTATTTCTACACCCTATTATTCTTTATCAGCCTTTTTAAACCTTTGCTTGAGTTGAGTCATACTACAGCTATATTATGGTTGTAGCCCGAATGGGTCGGCTCGACCGGGTAAGTACAGCTTAATGCTGTTGTGTTTCGTATGGTGAGTGTAGATAACCGGCATTACAAGTAGATGTCTACGGGCCACAGCATCCAATTACCATCAGGTGGACTGTGTGCTCGTTTAACGTTTGTCACCTATATTCTATTAACAAAAAGGAAATTTCCTTTCAATCATAATTTTTTAGTAAGGGTAATAACCGAATACGGACTCCACTTGATAGGAAGTCGATGCTGTGGCCCATAGAAATCTACATCTTTCCTTAATTAAACGTAATAATAATAACTTAATATCCGCTCGGTTTTAGAGCCTTGCGGGATATTTAGAGACGATGGCAGGAGACCCGACGGTATGACTTTGGTCCCTTGGGAGAGAGGTAAAGCCCTAGTGTGGATGCTACTTGCGTTGACACTTTGACGGCCTCTCATCTCAAGGGTACCTCTTTTAGAGCCGGGGCGGCATCAGAGGCAGCCGAATTTAGTAAATGGCGCAAATATGAGTCTTTGAGAAATGACTACATATTTGTGCCATTTGCTGTAGAGACTATCGGTCCGTGGGGTCCACGTGCAGTGAAATTTCTAAAGGAACTGAATCCACGACTGGTCGTAGCTGCTGGTGATAAGAGGGCTGGTTCTTTCCTCGCTCAAAAGCTAAGTATAGCTATTCAGCGAGGAAACGCAGCCAGCGTTCTTGGCACTATACCACGGGGAGCAGGTCTTTTTGACGATTTAAATTTTTAGTTTTAGATTTTCTATATTATAGTTTCTTCTTTTATATTGTATATAATTAGTTTTATTCGTAAATATTATAATTTTAATTATTATTTTAGTTAAGTTCTTTAATAGAATTTTTGTAATATAAATTAAACATCATAATGCAGATAAGTTATCACCCATGACGTTAGATGTAACGCCTAGAGGCCCGCAAAGGGTCTTCAACACCCTTTAGCCGCCATATAAAACACAGGGACATTAACCCGCTATTTCACGCTGGTATGCCGTGAGAGCGCAGTCCTCATCCGGTAAATACGACCCATTCCTGATATAACCCTCACACGCTGCAGCGTTTTTCTACCTCATATAATCGTCATATACTTGATATAGTATATTCGTCCAATAAGACCACGCTGGGCAGCGATGATAATAATAACACTATTTGATTTAATTAACTATGGTTAGATTGTTTATAACACACTTTTATTAACTCTTTTAATGTAATTTTCACCAACTTCTACACGTGGTAGAGTTATGCTGCAGTTATATTATTAGTATAGTGTAGCACAAATGGGTTAACTCGACCGGGGAAGGACCACGCTCTCACAGAATACCAGCGTAAAATAGTAGCTTAATGCTGCTGTGTTTCGTATGGTGAGTGTAGAGAACCGGAGACACTTTTTACTGGAAACGAGGCACTCCATCTTAGTCCGTACGGCTGACTGAGCATCTGCATTTTGATTCGTAATCGAGGATAAATGCCACAGCAACCACTTACCATCAGGTGGCCTGTGTGCTCATTTGTCACCCTATCCTATTAAAAAAAAACTTGTAGACGCCCGATTGCCTTGAAAATTTATAATCAAGGACCGATGACAATACTACAATTTAATAACTTTATCTTAGTATCCTGATCAGGATCGCCAGGACAATTCTCTCTAGAATCATCACAGCTCATGATAAATGCGTGTGTTTTAAGTTTTCTAATATTTTATTATTATGTAACCTTAACTTGAAATCTTTAAGTTGGGGCCTCGCGAGTTGCTACTTTTCAAGGAAACTAATATTTTGACACTTCTGTCATTGTTTTTTTTTTTTTTTTGGAGACATCATACGTACAGAAAAATATAAATTTATTGAATAAAAACAGTACTAACTCCTTGAGATTGGTTCGAGGTTGCTCAATTTAGCTACAACTAGAAAGTATTTTTTGAGAAAATCTGTATATAGTACGGGAGGGTAATATGGTCATCCGGTTAATATGGTCACTGTCTTATAAATCAAAAACTACAGCCTTGTTTGCAAAGATGGCTTTGTGATACGATAGCTCTTCATCGGTCAGTCAAGTAATAAAGAATCATATAGCCGCTTTGTAGACGCTATTTTAACAGTTAATATTATAGTAAATATTTTAGTAGATTTTAATATGGCGTAACGTAGTTAGTTTTGATTAAGTTGATTTTCGAAGTGTTCTCGATTATTGGCAAAGTTTATTTGCTATATTTTTCATTAATTTATTAGTTATAGTATACGACTTTGTGTTTTTGTACCCATCCTCCTTCTACTTTTAGTTTTAGAGGGGGGATTTGATATATATCAAATCCCTCAAAATATAATACAAAATTAAAAAAAAACTTTTTAAAGAAACATTGTTAAAAAAAAACCAAAATAAATCAGCATATTGAAGACAATGAACTTTTATTCTACACCTGCAAGTACCCCAGGTACTGACATAATTCCGTTGTTAGTATGGAGTGTAGAAGCAAGGAGTACCAACTCCCATAGTAGAATAGTTGAAGAAGTAGCCATCTGTAAGTAGTAAATAACAGCTCAAAAACTCTCCACAACAGCGCTGGAGTAGCTACTGGGATGAAATGAACTTAGCAGTTGTCGACGGTTTAAGTGTGCTGCTAAACTGCTCAGTAGCTCTAAAATCTATAATAATTTTATTTAGGAAATATAACCTCGAAAAAGTTTTCTATCCCACTAATATTCTTCGGCTTCGGATTTTTTAAAATTTAGCCCGTAGCTACAGTGGCGCCACCCTTATTTAACGGTTTTCTATAGATACTTTTTAATACACAGTCTGTACTCCTTACTTCTACACTCCATAGTTGTTAGCCTAGTTGCCTGGTTGTTAACGCGACTGCAGATTATATGGTTCTTCTGGGAACTATTGGGGTTTTCTACCAAGGAATTCTAAGTAGAAGCGCTAAATCAGAAAATAGACGAGGTTTCATCACCGTGCCTCGAATAGAACGTGCCGTTGGTCTCGAGTCTGATCTATCTCCGGTCGTGTCGGCTTACCGTCCCATCGGATTATGAGAGTGAGGGAATAGAGAGTGCACCTGTGCTTGCGCATGCACTCGAACACTATAATCCTGGCTTGAGTAGATGGCAAGTCTCCGTTGAGGCTGGCCGCCGTGACATAAAATTCGGTCTGGAGGACGTTAATATTGTTATGTTAAAGCTAACTATAAAAAAATATTTCTCATTCTTTGACATTGTAAATGTAACTTGGTTTTAAAAAAAATACCCCCAGGGTTTCTCATCGGTTTTTCTCTGGGAAGGTCTTGTTTTGCGAACCGGTAGTAGGTGCAGGCAGTAGGTGTAGATTTAGACGTTCAATTTCAAAAGTTTTGGCTTTGATTTGACTTTTAATATTTTAGAAAGAATTTTGTTGAGATATGATAAAAATGCAGATACCTTCAGAGCATCCTTCGCCGTTTCTACTGTTTAAAATAGATTCAGAGCAACTTGATTTCAAAACGGTAGTAATATATAGCAGATTATGGAGTATTAAAAATCCGTAGAAGTTGATTATATAAAAACATGATCTTGACCATAGATTATATATACAAACAAATAAAATTGAAGTATCTGTTGCTACTATCAAAATAAGAGGTTATACACACAGATAGCTGATGTTATAAGGAGTAACTTAGGCTATTATTTTTAGAAAAATAATTAGAATTCTGTGCCAAAAAATTAAAACTCAATTTCATGGATGAACAAAATCCTTTTTAATAGGGACGTACAATAATGAATTACAAAAATCTACGCGTACGAAGTCGCGGGCACAACTTAGTTAAGTTATACATATTTGAGAATCTTGACGTAGCATTCAAGACAAATTAAAACTCATTTTTTTACGTTGAAAATGTGTTTTCATTTTCTCCCACCAACTCACCTCAGAACGTCTGTTGGTTTCTCTGACCAGTACACGGGCATCCTGAGCCTGCCGACCACGTTCACGTCGAATCTTCCACCGTCAGTTGGAACGAGTGTGTTTTCATTTAAATCAGCTGAAAATTGACCGGTTTTTAATCTTGGACCACCAAAGAGGATGTAAATAACATATTAAAACTTTAGGCCACACTAGAATTTTCTGCTGTATCGTGGAGGCAGTTTATAAACATAAATTGCACAAGAACAAATATCCAGATCCGGAACAATTACGTGTAAGCCATAAAAAATCTTGATCCGTGCAGGATCGAACCCACCACCCTCAGCGCCGCAAAACAGGCTAAGCTACTGCGCCATGGAGCCGTCAATTCAATTTCATCGCTGCCGAATGGGATCGAACCCGGGTTGCTCGCGTACTGTGAAACGTACAGCGAGCGTTTAGCCGTCGAGCTGCAATGGCTACGTTTTGTATTAAAGATTTGCCTTAATTATCACGCTTGGAAGCGGATTGAGCAATGCATTTACCCTAATGCGTGGTAAAACCACGTTGCAGCCATATTATCGCTTCAGCACGAGTGGCTCGGCTTGACTGGGGTAGGACCACGCTCTCATAGAATACCAGCGTAATACAGTAGCATAATGCTGCTGTACTTCGTATGGTAAGTGTAGAGAACCGGAAACCCTTTTTACTGGAAACGAGGGATTCCATCTTAGTTCTGAGGAGTGTCAATGCATCTGTATTTTGATTCTTAATCGAGGATCAATGTCTATGGGCCATGACATCCAGTTTCGATTATAGACTGTATGCTGTTTGTCACCCCCCATTCTATAAAAAACCGTCCTCATTCATGGCTGTCAAGATCTTGGAAAACCTGCAACCACATACTTGCCATTAAATAATCTTATTGATAGAATTGTAAAAGCCAGTTAAGGTATTTTAGTTTGGCGTATTGATTATAACGCTATCTATCGGAAGCCATAAGATTTCTTGGCTGTTTTAAAAAACAAATTAATTAGTAACCATAAGGAAATGTAGATGGCGTTGTACAATTTAAAAACAAACTATCATTTGTTCAAAGTTTTAAATAGTCTTGAATTGAATAATTAAAGTCGTAAATTAGATCAAATGTATAAATATATCGTGTTTTATAAATTTGATCTATTTTTTGACGCCTATAATACCCGAAAAGTTCATCATCATCAACCAATAAAACCAGGCAATTCCCATTTCCCATAGTCCCCTATTACGTCTACCACGGGACGAAATGTGGTGATGGACTAATTAAAAACCGGCCAAGAGCGTGTCGGGCCACGCTCAGTGTAGTGTAGGGTTCCGTAGTTTCCCGTCCGTCACAATAAGTGTTCCCACTTATGAGTTTAAAGGTGGGTATCCATTATGTTCCCTCCGCGCTCCTGCAACTGCTCCCGGTAGTGGGTGCTGTTGTTTCCATCCAAGTTCAAAATGATTTTCCTAGAAAGTCCTAATAAAGTTCTACTTTCCAGATTTTTTTCATATTTTCTAAACTTATGGTTCAAAAGTTAGAGGGGGGGATATATTGTTTTTTACTATTGGAGCGATTATTTCCGAAATTATTGACATTAACAAAAAATGATTTTAGTAAACCCCTATTCATTTTTAAATACCTTTCCAACAATATATCACACGTTAGGGTTGAAATTAAAAAAAAATCACTTCCCACTTTACATACAGGGGGTCTACCCTAATAAAACATTTTTTTTCCAATTTTTATTTTACCACTTTGTCGGCGTGATTGATACACATATTGATACCAAATTTCAGCTTTCTAGTGATAACGGTCACAGAGATTAAGCTAGGACGGACAGACGGACAGACAGACATGGCGAAACTATAAGGGTTCCTAGTTGACTACGGAACCCTAATAAAACGAAAATTAAAAACCAATACTCACGAGTGACGAAGGCATTCTCCAAAGCCGTCGAGTCGACTGCAGAAAAGCCTTTCCAAACAGACTTTCCCTCGTAATCAACGCAATAGAACCAGTGGTGCTTGACTGGGCTGTACTCCCCAACGGAACGGTTCTGAAAGTATTTGTGTTATCGTTCAGGTAATGATGGTCACAATTCATAATTCCCTCCCAACAGGCGCTTTACGAAGAATGTAGAAAACGATAGTTTTCCTTTTTAAAAGGTTTTTTGTACGTGGTAGAGCGATGCTGCAGTTATATTAGTAGTACAGTTGTATCACGAATGGGTCGGCTCGACCGGGGAAGAATCACGCTCTCGCAGAATACCAGCGTGAAATAGTGGCTTAATGCTGCTGTGTTTCGTATGGTGAGTGTAGAGAACCGGAGACCCTTTTTACTGGAAACGAGGCATTCCATCTTAGTCCTCACGGGTGACAACGCATCTGCATTTTGATTCGTGATCGAGGATAGGTGTAGACGTCTATGGGCCACAGCAACCACTTACCACCAGGTGGACTGTGTGCTCGTTTGTCACCCTGTCCTATAAAAAAAGGCCGGCAACGCACCTGCTATTTTCCTGGTGTTGAAGTTTTTAATAGGCGGCTTTGGACTGCATTCGAAGGCAAATTTATTTAAAAAAAATTGTGCGGTCCAATTAATAAGCAGAAACCTAATCTATCTACATTCTACACTATCTACACTAATATTATAAAGAGGAAACATTTGTTTGTTTGTATTGAATAGGCTCCCAAACTACTGGACCGATTTGAAAAATTCTTTCACCAATGGAATCCTACATTATCCCTGATGAACATAGGCTATAGTATATTTTCAAAAAGTTAGGGATCCATATATAAACTTCGTTAATGTAACCCACGGCGTGTAAAAAATACCAAAAGAATCCTTATTATTCGCATACGCTGCGGAAACTATTGACAATAGAGCAAAGTGATGTACTACAGTTTTATAGATCTATATCTATAAAAAAAGTCCGCGGTGCTATATGTCTAACCATTAAAGTTATGTCAAAATAACTACTTTTCATGTGAAATTATGCAATAGTAACGCCAAAAAAATCCTTATATCGCATACGCTGCGGAAACTATTGACAATAGAGCAAAGTGATTACTACAGTTTTATAGATCTATATCTACAAAAAAGTCCGCGGTGCTATATGTCTAACCATTAAAGTTATGTCAAAATAACTACTTTTCATGTTAAATTATGCAATAGTAACGCCAAAAAATGCTTATATCGCATACGCTGCGGAAACTATTGACAATAGAGCAAAGTGATGTACTACAGTTTTATAGATCTATATCTATAAAAAAGTCCGCGGTGCTATATGTCTAACCATTAAAGTTATGTCAAAATAACTACTTTTCATGTTAAATTACGCAATGGTAACGCCAAAAAAATCCTTATATCGCATACGCTGCGGAAACTATTGACAATAGAGCAAAGTGATGTACTACAATTTTATAGAAGAAATCAATATCTACTTACAAAAAAGTCCGCGATACCATATGTCTAACTATTACAGTTATGTCACAATAACTACTTTTTCATGTTAAGACATGCAAAGCCCCCCGAATATGTGCAATGGGATGAGGCTTCTTATTGAGGTAATTAAGGAAAATTTAATTGTAGCGACCATCACCACCGGCCTATCAGCTGGTCAACTACCTCATATACCGAGGATATTTTGCTGCCACAAAATAAAACAACAACAAATATAGTTTACAGGGAAGCTCTGAACTAATAAATTTATGTTTTGTAGATATTATCTTTTTACAAATAATATAATAATATTTCCAACAAAATAAAATAATCAAAATTAAAAAATAACAAATAAATAAGTAAATATATTACCAAAAAAACCATCATCTACACCTTAATATTATGAAGAAGAAAGATTTTTTATAAGAAATAAGCTCCAAAACTAATAGGCCGATTTTAATAATTCTTTACCAATAGAAAGCTAAAATATCACAAAGTAACGTAGGCTATAATTTATTTTCGTAAAAATTGGAGATCTTTAAGAAAATTGTAACTCAAAGTAGCAAAATTTTGCCTATAAAATTCATTATTTAGCGTGAGCTGAGAAAACCCGATGATACATAGAAATTATGTGCTACATGGTTAAAGTACTCATTACTACCTTCAAAAAAGTTCGTGTAAGGAATATATCTAACTATTATAATTAAGTCACAATAGTAGCTTTTGTGTTCTAAAATTTTATTAGATCACCGGCCGAAACAAAAGTCGGTTACAGTCGTTTCGTAGTATTAATTCTTATTCAAATAAATAGTTTTATCGTAATGAAAGAGTTAAGAAATAATTTGTATGTACCTCTTTTTAAAGAGTATATTAATTATAAAAGGTTGATAGAAAATTCATCATGGATCATTTCATATCTCCAAACTTTTCGTGTACCGTGTACTGAAAAAAAAACCGCGTTTTGGGGCACTTTCTGGGGCATTCATCCGGGAGAGGGAGAGAGAGTGGATAAAATTTAACTTTGCTGCATAACATACATATGCCAATAGAATAAAAGTACTGAGTACATTAATTTTGCCAATTTTTAGCCAAAATGATTGAACTAAATGAGCGAGGTGTCATGTCATGTAGCACGGCGCAGACACGTGATTACGCGGGTAAAACCGTGGGGCACAGCTATATAAAATATTTTTAAAACAAAAACAATTTTTATAATTTTTGTGTTTGCTTTTCGGTTTGTTCCGGCTAATCTCCGAAATAGCTGAACCAATTTTGTCAGAATTTCACTGGCAGATAGCTGATGTTATAAGGAGTAACTTAGTTAGTATTTTTATTTTAGAAAAAGAATTGGAGTCATTCGCAAAAAATTCAATTACATGGAATTATATCGTAATAAATTTCACGCGAACGATGTCGCGGGGAACAGCTAGTATATTATATTTTTCATAAACAATATGATGTAATGTAATTCGGACTTATAGCAAATTGACAGAGATATATTTTGCGAAATTCGTAGGTTATTTTAGAATGTTACGAGCGGGTATAGAAACGCACATACGTATCTGACACTACTCATTTGGGATACGCTGTAGTTCGGTAAACAAAGTAAAATCTTTAGTGATAATGTAATAAATATGTAACGAAATTAGTTAAAACATTGAAACACTACCTCAGTCATGATAGCAACGCTGTCTTCTTTATCCTCGTTCATTGAATAACTGTCAAAATTGACAGTAGCCGATCTTCCCCGAGCAACTTCTTTTTTATTTTCCATTACGTCAATGTCTTTATTTGTTTCGGAATTATTTTTGTCCATCAATTTTCTAAATTTATAGTTACTTGAACCTATACCATCTAAATTATCACCTTTTATTTCTCTGATTATACTACTTTCTTTGTTACAGCAATGTGAACAGACTTCAATAATAGTTATTGGGTCGGCGTCGGTACTCGTTTCTGTTAGTTCGTTTGATTCATTATTATTATTGATTATATTATCAACTTGCCTTGATGCAACAAGTTTAGACTCGTTGTTAAAAGCAATTTTCAAAGGATTATTATCGTATTCAACAGTAAAAAAGTTAACGGACCTAATTGTTTGTTCTTTTGGAATGAAATCAATATTAGTGGTAGATGTTAGATCTTTCATCAGATCCACATTGGCAATGTACGCTTCATTTGGAATGTTACGTATATCGTTAACATTATTTTGTTTAGATTGTGTCGAAACGGCGTTAAGGCTGTCTAAATTAGCATATTTCGAAATGTTTTCAATAGCACGTTGAGAGGTGGAGCTTACACTTTGCCTATAATGGTTTTGGGATTGACTTAACTCAAAAAAAGACTTTGAAGGATCGGCTTGAGTTTGTGTTGAGAAGTAGCTCGATAACCTACTAAAATCGTAAACATCCGAACTTTCTGTGACACCTGAGGCTGAAGTTGTTGAAAAGAAATTTGCTGAATCAGACAATGACAAAGCGCTTGCGATTTGGAATTGGACAGCTGTTTCCGCTGTATTTTCTGGTTCAACGTTAGAAAATACGGATAGTGTCTCTTGGGAATCGCCGTCATTATTCTTTACACTAAAAGCACTCGCAAAATCTGGTAATTTTAAATCACTTTTTGCTGTTGTTGGAGATAAGATTTCTTCGGATACATTTATCAATTTATTAGATAAATGGGTTTCACCAACAATTGTTGCGGATTCTTTTTCAGTTTGTTCAGATGAAATATTAGTGCCCAGAGACAATTCATTTCGAGTTAACGTCGTGAATAAATTACTTTGGGATACTGTATCATGAATGTATTTCACTTTTTCTTCTCGATCAGATGTTAATAAGCCTTCGTTGGACACCAAGCTTAATTTCCTTTGGAATTCATCTTCGAACCCGGGAGGTACACGCATTAAAGAACTTTGAGCAGTTGAACAATAATTGTTAAGGCTCGATGGGGATGTTAATGAATTCCGGTAGTAGTTTTCTACTGCGTAGTTACCCGTATCAAAATATGAAGCTATAGTTATGGACGGACTGGTTGAAGTGGGCAGATCATATGTTTTGGAACTTTTGTGGGTATCAAATATTATGTCATCATTATGATCGGTGTTCGTTTCTTCCATCTTTTTATATCTTTCCACTCTATACGTAAACGTGTCTATATCTTGAATAGGTTCATCAGAGCTTCTCTCACGTTCTCTAAAGACTATTTTGTCGTCATCTGTTTCAGAGGGCTCGATCACATACTCTTCAAATATAGGAAAATCCTTTTTTGCATCTTGTTCTATGGAGTGCACATCTAAACCACTTTCATCTGATTTTGTATCGTCCTCTGCTGGGGGTGCTGTAGGGATACTTATTTGTCTTGGAAGAACTGTCATTGTGTCTTCAAATGAATGTTGGTATACTGCTTTAATTTCATCGCTTGCATTAGTTGGTATACTATCTAAGCACAAAGATTTATTTTGAAAAAGTCCTATAGTATTTTCAACAGGCGGTAGAGTATAGTCATGTTCCAAAAGAGCGTCAGAAGATGTCAGAGTAGTATCATTCGTGCACCACCCATAATTTTTAATTATCGTAGTATTGTCAACGTCGCCCAAAAGTTCCGAAGTAGCATGCACGTGTATAGATTCAATAGTTTCTTCTGTAATATGCGAAATTTCAGCGCACTGATCAGGTTCAAAATCTGTTCCGCTTACATCTGATATATTGTTTTGAGTGAGAGGGACTTCAACTGGATTAGAAAGCTGTATAGGCGCAGTTATATTTTCAATTAACTGATCGGTTAAATTTTCTAATTCTTTTTCTTCGGGTTTATTGACTTCTCTACATGTCTCACAAATATTTAAGTCATTTTCGCTTTTTTTTTCACCGTCTAGTGCTAAATTCTTTTCGATCGAGAAGGGACTATCGAAGAAATCAGCAGCGTTTTGGTTAAAAACATAGGGTTCTTGATTTTTGGATGTCTCTAGCGATGCCACATTTTTTGAATGACTTGTTATGTCAGTGACACTATTAGATTCATCGGTAGTAGGTTGACTGAACAATGAATCACAAAATAAATCTGTTGATGGTTCAAAATATTTACAACATTCTCCTTTCGAAACTTGTGAGTCGACATTATTAAGTTTTTCATCTCTTGTTGTAGTGCTTTTAGTATGTGTAAAAAAGTTTGCATTTATTAAACTGTCCGTGATAGTAGCGTTACGTTGTTCTACAATTTCACACGGTGTTGATGTTTCGAATAATAAAGAATTATTTGCTCTTTCCTCAGCTTTTGAGGGTTGTCTTTGTAAAAACTCATTTTGATGAGTTTTAGTATCTATACAGGTTTTTGATTCAGAAGTAAGAGAATCAGCTACAGAGTTTTGCAAAGTGTTGTGTAAATAGTTCGAGGTCAAGACTGGACTCAAACTTGATTTATAAATGTTGGTCTCTGGAAAACTTGACGTTACGATTTGGGACTCTTGTTCTTTTGCTTCAGAACCAGACTCAATAATGTTTTCATCGCCAACACCTTTCATAGAATCCTGTGTATTAGTTAATCCAATAGTAAATTCCGTATTCCACGAAGATGAAGAAAGATTTGCTTGTGCGGGATCGTTCTTATTTGCATTTTCGTTAGAGTAAGTACTAGGTACATAAGGGTTATTAGTTTGGTTATCAAAGTAACTGTACTGAAACGTATTATAAGGAACGTTGCTTGACGTTGTATTAATATTATTACTATCTATCATTTGATAATTATAGCCCGTATACGTTTGTGGTTCTGGTTCTAAATTGGGGACTAATATTTCTAAATTATTGTCTGGTGTTACAGCGTATTGATCCTGGTGTGTTGATTTATTTGTAGTTACACTATCGTACGGAATATTCTCGTGATTACTTATGGCTTCCATTTTAGTATAATTATAAGCAGGATCGAAGAAGGTAGTAACTGTATTTTGAATCTTGTTGATATCTATTGAACTTAGTTTAGATTTCAATGACCCAATTATGCCAAATCCTTTAGATTCTTGAGGAGGTTGATCATAATATTCTGAGGTTTGTCGGCTCAAATCAAATGCAGTATTACACTCAGGTTGTAAATAAGTAAGTTCTTGTGACTGATTAACGTCATATTTTGGATAAGATGATAAATTGTTGGTTGGATTAGTTAAATCGAACGGGGTGGCAGAATGGCGAGTATCAGATAACGTAGAACTTAACTCCGATGATGTTGACTCCAAAGGTAACTCAGGGGTATAAAGAGATCCCTGAAACACGTTGGTTTGAACAGCATCGATCGTAGGTTTCACATTCACATTATTAGTTATACTGCCAAAGCCTTCTATCGGACCAGAATAATACTGAGGTTTTTTCTTCGTCATTCTGAAGTTATGACTACTTGATATTTTTGGAGGTTCAGGTAAGTTTTTGGTGGGTGCCGATGTAACGGTATCAGGTACAAAGTGGGTAGATCCTATAGAGATGGCTTCGTTCTTGTTAGTTTCATATTTGTGTGCTTCAGTTTGAGAATCGAATGTTGATACAGTGTTTGGATTAAAGAATACTGGTGGTGGTGGTATTGTTTTCTTTGACGGCAACTGTCTTTGGGAAATGTTTGTTGATAATACTTTAGAAGTTGTCTCTTCGAAATACGGTATATTTGAAGTCAATTCTCGATCAGTATTAGAGACAGGTGGTACTAAATTTAACTGTGATAACGGTGCAACCAATAAATCAGATGTTCTGCAAGCATGAGATATTTCAGTTTCCTCAAAATCTTTATTATCCTTTGTAGTTAGTTGTGTTATTTGCCTAACCGAAGGTGTCGAAAAGTCTGATGGTTTAAATACGGGTGGACCAATGGTGGGGAAGGTATTTCCGCTTTGTGAAAAAACTGTTGGCGTACCATCAAAAATCAACTTATTTACGGGCTCTTCTGTGCCAGTTAATGGATTTGACATCAACGTCGTAACAAACTTTGTAGAACTAGGGTCGTTTTGTTCTAATTGTGATTGAGTAGAAATATCTGAAGATGGTATAAATATATTATGTAGTGGAGTTACGGTAGATGATGCAGTTTGAGGTTTTATTACAGGATTACTTGCTGCTATACGCCTTGCTATAGATGGTGGTAGAACTGATCTCACGTTGCTCTGTCCTTCTTTTTTCGATAAATTGGAAAACATTGGCGGTGGGGGAATTACAGAAACATTAGAAGCAGTTTCTAATAATGTTTGCTGAGTTGGGGGAATAAATACATAATTAGAAGGTGCGCAAGGTTCCGTTTGGTTCTTCTTTTCAACTGTTATAACAGACTTTGTTTGAATATTTGTTGATGAAAATGGTTGTGATTGATTTTCTTGTGCTATGTTTTCATGTGTAGAATTTGCTAAATTAATATCAGGAGCAGTTCCAGTGGCAACGTCCGATCTATCTGTTTGTTGATCGGCTTTATCTAAGCATGATGGTGGTCCTTCGAAAATACTTGAATCATATGTTGCTGGTATTGTTGACGCAGGAAAATCTATTTCTCGTCTTTTTTCTGTAGCACTTGACGTATTATTGTTAGGATTAAAATACGGAAAAGTATTTGTTGGATTCATAGGCGAATTATTTATCGGCACATTTTGTATAGTATCTCCAGATGTCAGGCCAGGTATCTGCGCGTACATTTTCTTCCTCGTCGTTATGCGATAATTGGAAGCAGTACCTGTAACAAGAAACGGCGTATTTAATGATAATGTTACCTTTTCGTTTTCTACTGATTACTTGCTAAGTGATTCCTGACACATAACTAGTTTGTAGACTATATTTTATATTCAGCGGTACATGGAGTTATCGTTTCATTTCATATAATAATGAGCATCTGTTACATTTTGGTTGGTTGGTTGGTTTTACCTATTCCTATTATTAAATACAAATTTATTTAAGTTGTCCCTTTGGTCTCGTAAGAAGCGGATATGAGAAATGTCGTAAAGATCTAATAACCTCCGATAGATAGTGATATTATGCCGGATGTGAAAATAAAACCCGGACCGACAACGAACTGCAGCGGCAAAGGTCCGGACGCCTGATAATGCAATAACTAATCAGTATACCAAGCGTTGCATTATGGCAAATCTCTATAGTGGAATGCCTATGCTGTATGATCCATGCCATCATGACATTTGCACAAGGTAAAGAAGAATGCACTTTACAATTGTTTATCAAAACAGAACAAGATATTTAACTCTTTCTACGTTTATTGATGCAGATGGAACTTCCATCTATTCCTATCCGATCAAGGATAGTTAGAGCGCAGTATCAGACATAATGTACTGTACAAATGATTATTCTTCGACCTGTCTGATCTTGAATCAAACAAACTCTAAGGATATCAACATTTTTCATATCGGAACGAATTTAAAAAGCACAAACTGACTTTGCTTTAAACATCGAGTTCATAGCAGTGTTCTAAGGCGAAAGTAAGACTAGACCAGTTACATAAATCACTTATTCCGACTTACACAAGTCCATTCGATCCTAGGCTGTCACTAAAGCACTAGAGTCAGGGCGTCTAATTACAGGGGCGACTCGTCAACCCGACAAACCTGTTTCAACAAGTGTCGATCGTCAGGACAGATACGTAACTATTTTTGAAATGTTATGACGCTGTGATTTGTATTGTTAAGTAATTTTTTAATCTGTATGACAGTTTCTTTTTTTAACAATTATTTTTAGCGTAGCTAAAAAAATATAATTTTTTAGCTACGCTAAAAATAATTCTGCCAAATGCGTAACTGAACTGAAGAGATTGACAGCATTATGGTGACCGCCGTAACTTGTAGTTACGTTATGTTGGGCGTTAAGAATTTTCGGTATCGAGACGAATGGAAACTAGAAGAATTGCCTTAATAAAAGGGCGTCATTTTGGTACAAGTGAAGGGTAGAAGATGGACGCCTTCCTTCCAATAGTCTCATTAACAATCACCACCACAAAGATTTATTTGAAGAGTAGTTAAAATAACAAACGAGCACACAGTACACCTGATAGTAAGTGGATGCTGCGACATATAAACTTCTACATTTATTCTCGATTATGGATCAAAACGCAGATGCCTTGTCAACATTGAGGATTGAGACTGACATTAAGGACTAGTGCTCTAAACTCACTATACGAATCACTGCAGCATTACGCTGTTATTTTTATTTTACGCTGATAATTTCTGAAAGCATAGTTTTTCCCAGGTCAATTTGACCTATTCGTACCGGAACGTGGCGCTCAAAACAACATCAACCAAAACAACATGAACAACGTGAGTAAACTGCCACGTGTTTCACCACAAAGTGTGGCATCATCAATTATGTAGGCTCTTTCTAATCCCTAAGTATATGACATGAACCTTACAGCACCAGGTTACGCCCTGCTAAAGATTTTAGCACAAAGTAAATATATAAATATAAAAGTTACTTAGTTAATTCTAGTAATTTTGTCTGTATTTTCATAAGGCACTCGTGACACGAGCCATTTGAATGAATTTAAATATTCATTATATTGCTATTGTATCATTTAATATTTGAATAACAAAGTGAGACCGTTTAGTGTAACTTAATATACAAATATGAAAGTAAAGTAACAGTTCAGATATGTCCCACTGCTGGGCACAGGCCTCCTCTCATGCTTGGGAGGGTTTAGAGCCGTGGAAGACCAGGGGCTTAGGGCTTATCCCATGCGACACCCATGAAATTGCTCTCTGATCTGATTTACCACGTGCTCGACGGTAAAGGAAAGCATCTATCTGCATGTCTGAGAAAACGCGGCTGACATTTACTATAATTTTTCATTATTTTGAGTGGTTTAAGGACCATCACAAGTTGATTACACTGGCAACTACTAGAATATCATCTTAAACCTTCAATCCCCATAAAAATCCCATGCAGTCGCATGCGTCCGGCATATCCAAAGCGGTCGCATGCGACCGCACCCACCCACAGCACTTAAAACCATTAAAACTTATATTTAGAGACCCCTTTTCTATGAAGAAGTTTGGCATTATAAAATCTATACAAAATTCTCTATCGTGTGGTCTAAACAAAAGTCAGGTTTTACTTCATTTCAAAAAGATTTTGATAACAAACAAAATACATACCAAGCGGATGTCGGCAGCGTCAAAATCACAATTATTTCTATATTCTATATTTATAATTTCTATATATAAAAAAATAACCCCGAGCTGTTTACAGCTGCTGGAGATTTAATCAAATCTAAACCTCTGAGGCATCCAGATAAATTAGTCATTGATAAAATACCAAAAACAGTTAATTATCATAAGAATTGCTATGCAATGTGTATAAAAGTATTTAACGCTATACCCGATAACATAAAACTACAACCAAGGAAGAGTTTCGGGAACGAGTTGAAAAAGTGGCTATTTAATAAATATTTTTATTCGGTTAGGAGTTGTTGGAAAAACAATATCTTTAAATTTTAGACCATTTTTTAATAATAATACTTTAATACTTAATATATAATGTGACATGAAAATATAAATATTAATGATGTGATAGTGCAAATAATAGTAAATGTTTTTGTATTATTATTACACTTTCTAGTTTAGTTTTATGTTTTTTGTTGGTTAATTATTATCAATGTTTTTTTGTAAATTTAATCTATATTGTACTTAATAATACTTAATGTTTTTAAATTTCTACCATTTTGTACACCAGAAATGGTTAATGCATACATATAGATTCTATAATGCCAAACTTCTTCATAGAAAAGTAGTCTCTAAACATAAGTATTGATGGGTTAGTGCTGTGGGTGGGTGCGGTCGCATTTGACCTCTGGAATTTTGACGGAATATCGAAGCGGTCAAATTTGGACGCTTGCGTTCGAGAGGTTAATAGTTACATCAAACTCATTCATTAATTACCTATTTTTTCAAATGGAAGGTGGAATTTTTTCTACAAATTAATATCATTACAATTTATTTCTCACAAATACAATATGCATTGTGTCTTAAATATAAAAAATATATGATGAAACTACCCATACAAACAAAACCTACAATACAATAATCTTAATTTTATACTTAAATATATCCTCATCTATGGAAAAAGTAATAAAAATTATTACTTTTTCCATAGAAGAGGGGTCTTTTAAAAAAGAAACGCCAAGGTAAGCGATTTTCTTGAAGGTCCCTATGTCGCATCGGTCCAGTAAAATAGCCGGTGGTAAACTATTTCACAAAGAGTTTGTACGAGGAGGAAAACTCCTTGTAAAACGAACAGTGTTGGACCGCCAACCATCAAAATAGTGTGGTTGGTATCGTGAGTTTTGCCGTAATGTGCGGAATTTGACGGCTAGAATTAATCCGAACAATTCCTCAGAGCACTCCCACGTGGTAGATGCAAAGGAATGCAACATCACTTCGTAGCGCCCCTGAATCATGACGATCAAAGGGAACTTGGTCGTCGACGATTTGAGCCGCCCTCCGTTGAATGCGGTCAAGAGGAAGGAGTTTAAACCGGGGTGCCCCGTCCCAGTGATAAGAATAGTATATTCCAATTGAGGCCGAACTTGCGCCTTGTAAAGTTAATTAATGATTTTATTTGTTTTATTAAACACCAATCGCATCATTAATCACGCATGTACAGGATACGAGTAGTTAGTTAGTACCAGTTCTGGCTCACTGAGTCAGAAGTGGTACGTTCGTCGACTCACGATCCTAAAAAAAAGGTTTTGGCTTGCTCTGATCACGAATCTGCGGTCCGTTTTTGCGTAGGATGCACGGTTCCGGAGATGTGCAGATCAATTAACTCTTATCTGATTGATATCCGGTGAGGGCCTCCAACGTCATTAGCACACCATTGTTCTTATCTATTTATCTATTGTTCATTGAATACCGTCATTGTCTATTCGTGCGTCGGATTATCAGTGCTATTATATTATACTCCTTTGTTCTTAACTGCAACGGTAATCTGAGTCATCAATAAAATACATTACCTAATTTTGTTACAATTTTTATTTACGAAATACAAAATCTTATTACTTATTATCTATAAAATAGGAGCGAAACATCTCATCCACTAAAATATCGTTGTACAATGTGTTCCCTGTAAATATGCTTGTAAAACTATGCACTGAACATCCCTGAAACTTATATAGCCAATACAATAAGCAATATTCGCCACAAACTGAAGTCCACTCATTCTGAATCCTATCAACATTCCAGTTCCATCTTTTACAATTCCTTTTTAAAAACTCTAGATGATATCGTACAGGTGCTCGTCCGTATGAATCAAAATATTGACCGACGTCATTCGTATCGATATATAAAGCTACCCAATGTGACCCTGGTTTATCATCTGTATCCAAATTGCATATTATATACGTTGGCACGTGGGTGTACATGGGCAGTCTATTGGCAGCATAAACATTATTTTCTAGACTGGGATGAATCTTTTTCAGATGTTGTTGTACATCTAGTGTATCCATGATATTGTTACGAGCTTGAGGTTCGTGACAATAAAAATTGCCGATAAAATTACCTAAATTAACACTTTAATTTACTTTACACAAATTAAAGTTAAAAACACTAATAATTAAACACACTAATTCACTTAATTCCGCTCCGAAGCTTCGCTTGTGTCGCCGAGTTCAACTCTCCCGTCGCATCTTGCAGCGCCTATATATTTAAATTAGCAAAGAAATATTCAGAATGTTCAAGT